AAATAAGTAAGAAAAAGAAAAAGAAAAGAAAAAAAAAAAAAAAAAAAAAAAAAAAAAAAAAAGCGGGAGTCAGGAAACACGGGGAGGTAGGATGAGCGCTTGTCCTTCTCCCTGGGGTACGGTTCTACGTTTAATATATAAAAAAAAATATCGGGGGTAGCTTTGCAGTTAAAAGTAGCTCGTTACACCGGGGTTTCGTTGAGAAAATTTGTCATTGTCTTAACTATGATTAGGGAGCTATAATAAATACTTGAAACAAACTATCTTTTTTTGGTGTCTAATACGCGTTCATAAATTTAAATATAAAGCTCTCTTCGACCTCTTTCATGGAATTAAAGTCATGCAAGGCACGTAGCAGTTCCTAACCTTTCTAAAAATAACATAGGATTTTCTGTGAAAGGCTTGAACGCCGGACTCGTTTCATAAGTAGGTTGAGTATGATCGTCGGGGTGAGCATAGTCCTGAATAGGACTGTTGTTGTTGTTGACAGTGACTGACGTTTCGACAACCTGTGCGGAAGTCATCTTCAGAGTCAAAGTGATTTGTATCACGTCAGTTGCATGGTATTAAACTAAGGTTGTTGACCTGATTGCTCAATTAAGTCGGATAAGCAGGATATTCTTTAGACGGGCAAAGCATCGTTATGTCACGTGATGTCCCTATTTCCGATCAAAAAGATAGAGGTGAGACGAACAAACCAGTAAGAGGACTACTCACAATGATTACACTGCTTTCATTCATCGGGGTGGTCGCTGTAATGCTTGCCACGAATGGCGTCACGTCACTACCAGTGGATTTGGCCAAGAAATCCTCGAACGATTGCGGCAAGTCTGTAGTCTGCAATTGTAATTTCCATGCCAATGGGCATGCCAGGGAATCGGGTGTCGTTATTGCAGAGATAAAAGAGTTAAAAACAAAAATGGAGGACCTTATTGCAATTGTAAACACAACAACCCTTCTGAAACCACTACCTACAACACCAGGTAAAATAATTCAATCTTAATTTCATTAAGCGTGAATTTAGTAATAACCATTGCGGTTTCTGAGTTTCTGCTTTATTTTACATTGAAGGAATTCCTGTCTCTTCGTGCAAGGAACAATACGATAAAAACAAGTAAGAACATATAAAAACACTTATGCAGTAATCTGTCACTGTGGGTTCAAACTGTGACAGGTATCAAAACCCAAAACACCAAAAGGAAAACGCCAAATCAAGCGAAATGAGAAGAAGGAAGTGAAAGAGCGCACGCGAGAATTTTGACAGATCTGAAATCCCCCTATCATATGTCTCCCTCAAAAGCTTAACTGTTGGTCCCTTCAGGGGTTACCACAGGTGTTAGGGGGTGGGGACGTGATAAATATGCAGTTTCGATAAGGGTTGATTCATGTAAAAGAAAATGCGGTTTCAATCGAAATATCCGGATTCTGGCCTAAGTTCTGCGTGACGGGGTACTAAATGGTGTGCAACCAGGAATTATACATATTTGACCACTGATACATCTAATCAAACAGTCTTTTTAAAAGTTGTTTCCTATTGTCTGCCTCTCCTGAAACAGGTCATTGATTAGTCAAGTATACAAAATTAACTTTGGTTCACAAGAACTTCCTGTGTATTGTCATATGGGAAACTTTGGATGCGGTGATGGAGGATGGACAATGGCCATGAAGATTGACGGCTCTAATTAGGTAATCCACCGACATTTTGATAAGTCATTTTCACCGCAGCGTCATTTTCGGGGAAGAACCCAATGTTAAAGGGGCGGAGTCAGTCGTCGGAATACTGGTATTAGACCCCCCAGAGGAGACCAATAGATATCAGCTGCACAAGGCAATAAGATTGGAGGGCGCGGTTGGGGTGTGGCCAATCCCCATAATCGGCTAGAAGCTCTTCCTCCGAGCTCCAATATCATAAAATGCCAGCGTTAGTCCTGCGAATGTATATTCCCTTGATCATAATCTGAAGGAGCTATGAGAGCCCACAAAAAAAGGCAGGCGCAATCGAGGTCCTTTCTGGAATCTGGGTGAGGCATCTATCTGACAGTTTTAAGGCGCAGTTACCTCGATTCCTTGCTGCAGCAGCACCTACCCCGTTGCTATATCTTTTACCCACGGTGACTAACTGTTACCAACGTAAATAAACAGTTACTAGAGAACAGAAGTTCTAGCTCAAACCCCCAGCTTTATTGAGGGTTAAATCAGGCTCCTGCCCCAGTGAGGTAAACTAACGTTCGCTAATTAACTTCACCAAGTTGACAAAACAAAGCCACAAAGTTGTCTTACTTCCTTCCTTCATATAAATGATTAATCCCCTTTTTAAATTTTAGCAAACCTCCCACTACGATTCGCAGTTTTGGAGCAACAAAGGTACATTTAACCTTGTGGGAGGGAAGACTAGTTTTGACCATCAAGAGACCAAGTTGCCGTCTTATTGGAGCACACCCTTCTCCAAGATCTGCCTTGGTATGAAGCTCGGCCATGATATAAACTTCATTGTCCTGCACAAGAAAGCTAACTCTCTTTTCTCTCTGATCGCTGACGGCGTGTACCGCACCACCACAATGGGTCGCAACACGTGGAAGAAGCTTATTGGGGCACAGGCCTCCTTGCAACGAAACTGTAATAAGGAGGGTTTTAACGCGATATCAAACCACAAAACAGATTCCAGGGTCAGAATAGGCATTGTGAGTAACCAACAAAATGACTGCTCTGGTTCTGAATCTAGAATAGGCTTTGGTGGGGCTGGGTACCCTGTGGATTCTAACACGTGTGGAAACGAGGCAGTAGCCAGTCCAGATAACGGAGACAAACATATAAAGACGATGGGCTACATATTAGTTCAGTAAAAATGTTCTTGTGAATAGACCTTCCCAGTATTCTATTCCAGTGAACACGCATAATTTCTATTCGCATTTATGTTAAGTAGATTTGTGCTTGTCATTCTTCGCCGCCCACGGATGTAAGCTACCACGCTACCACCAAGCTACCACTAATGTCATTTAAATAATAAATAGATAAACAAACAAATAAATAAATAAAATAAATAAATAAATAGATTAAACAAAGGTGCGGGCAACAACGGCCGAAGGTCAAAACGCTTTTGTTCCAAAGCTGTGCTTTGCGTAGGTTTCACGTGAAAGATAACCAAAACACGCGTGATCAGATTATGAGGGGTAGAAGGTCGAAACACGCGTGATCAAATTGCGTTCAATGCATTCCATTCATTCTTAGTGGAAGTCCAAACAAATGCTGGCAACATACATGCGACGCATGCGTAAAAACAGCCAGGAGATTAGGATTGCCGGCTCCTCTTGTGGCCCGCAAATAAACAAATAAATAAAATAAATAAATAAAGAGGTGTTATTATTTATTTCGTGCCAGATGAATTAGGAAAGAACATTTATTCATGGGATGTGAGTCAGCGTAGAACATTGAGATTCGATGTGAAGCGAAATCGGGCGATTGGAAATAAGGGCGGCCATCTGTTTCTCATAAACCGTGGGGGCGGGTGTCGGGCTCCCGCCCCTTAAGTAGATTTGATACTCATCACTACTAAGCAGTTTCCTGGTAAATTTCCCCATATTGGCGAAGTCAATACAAGTTAAGAACAGTATTCTGGTATGCTGTTCTACATGCCAGTGAGAAATAGCACGAAAACGTCATAGATAACGTGCAGTTAGTCACTGATTCAGATCTCCTTGTTCAACACAAGACAGAGTTAAGACACTTTTTACAATGATGGTAATTTTCACAATGCTTACTTCGGCCACCTTCCTCGGGATGTTTGCTGTAATAATCTCTGGGAGTGGCGCCAAATCAGATGTCGGAGTGACCAAGAATTCATCAGAAGAATGCGGCAAGTCTGTAGTTTGCAACTGCAACTTTCACGTCCATGAACACGCGGATTCGAGTGTCGTCATTGCAGAGATGAAAGAGTTAAAAGCAAAAATGGAGCAACTTATTGCAATTGTAAACTCAACAACCCTTCTGAAACCAACTACTGCACCAGGTAAATTAAATAAATCTTATTTTCTGGAAGAGGGCGTTTTAGCAACGACGTATTGCGCTTTCTAAAATACCAGGGAATTTCTCTAATTTTTTTATCATTATTTTAAAGGGGTTCCAGTTTCTTCGTGCAAGGAACAATACGAAAGAAACAAGTAAGGCGAAAGTGAAGTAATCATGCAGCAGTGTTACACTTGGATTTAACTGATCAAAACTGCGTCCTGTACTGTGTAATAAAATATTATAAAAGCCAAACCAAAAACGAATCTTTCTTCGAAACAAGTGAAAAGAACAAAAAGAAGTGATTAAGCGAATGCAAGAGAATTTTGAGAGGGTCACTGCTTTCCTCTAACCCAATCCACTTCTAATAAAAATATATCCAAACATTTTACAGTACAATTTGCAAAAAGTAAGCATATAAATCTGTAGTTTACAAGTTGTTTTGGTTCGTGGGTGGAGGCGTTGCGTGACGACGTAAAAAAAAACGGCTCATTGTAGGAGCCTACAGTTGACAGTTGACGCAATGCACCGTGATTAAGTCACTCACTCCCCCCCCCCCTCCCCACCCCCGTGTCACTCCTATTCACGTGGTTTGTTGTCTTTTATTTTACATATTTCCATGTTTAGTTACGCTAAGTTTACACCACACTGGACGAATTTTCTCCGGGTTGGAAAATTTTACCGGACACTTTTATCATTCACACGGAATCGCTTAATATTTTCCCCTTTGTTCAAAGGGAACTGGTAAACCAGGCTGATTTTTAACTTTTTTTTCAGTATTTTATCATCGGCCCATGCGCATAGCTCATTTGCAAATTAAAGGGAAATTTATATCTGCATGGTAGTTTATTTAAGTTCAGATCAGAAGTCCAAGACAATAATAAGATCCATCATTAAAAAAAATAATAACTTCGTACAGATATTTTGCAAACATAGGCTTACCTATCTTCAAATTTGTTTTCTCTTCTTATCCAGCTTTTAAAACTTTTGAGGGTTTTTGTTACACTTTTGGTCAACACTAAGACTTTTACAGCTTGTGTCAGTTTGTTCCACGGCTAGCTACTGACAGAGACATCTGTCATGATTGTTTGCCTCTCTTAAACAGGTCTTTTCTTAGTCGAGCGTACAAAATAACCTTTGGTTCACAAGAACTTCCAGTGTATTGTCACATGGGAGACTTTGGATGCGGTGATGGAGGATGGACAATGGTCATGAAGATTGACGGTTCTAAGGTCAGTCAAAATTTTTTTGTTATTGAGCCATTATTGACGATGGTATTCTCATGTCATCTAAAATTTAGCCTGGTGCACGTTATGTTTTGTTTCGAATCATTTCCCCCTGGAATATCCTAATTTATCGCATACAGGCCTTTAAGCCTTTAGCTAAAGCTTCACTTGGCCCTTTGTCTTGGATTCTGGATTCCAATCGTTATTAGGATTCCCGATTTTTTGAGCTGTATTCCGGACTCCACAAGCAAAGATTTCCCGGATTCCGGGATTCCAGGATTCCGGTGTGATTCACAGGTTTGAGAAAACGAAATCAAAAGGTTGCCTTACATCATCTGGGTTAGTCAATAATGATTTGCTATCATCACCTTCACATTTTAGAGAACTTTCCACTACGATTCCCAGTTTTGGAGCAACAGAGGTGCATTCAACCTCGCTGGAGGGAAGACTGGTTTTGACCACCAAGAGACCAAATTGCCGTCTTATTGGAGCACACCCTTCTCCAAGATCTGCCTTGGTATGAAGCTCGGTCACGATATAACGTTTATTTTCCTGTACAAACAAGCTAACTCTCTTTTCTCTCTGATCGCCGACGGCATTTATCGCAAAACCATACTGGGTCGTAACACGTGGAAGACGTTTATTGGGGCACAGGCCTCCCTGCAAAAAGACTGTAACAAAGAGGGGTTCATCGTGAAGCCAACCGACCAATCATATTCCAGGGCCAGAATAGGCATTTTGGGTAACCAACAAAACGACTGCACCTCTTCTGAATCCAGAATCGGCTTTGGTGCGGCACGACATCCTACCGACTCTAACACGTGTGGAGACGAAGCGGAATCCAGTCCAGATAATGGAGAAAAACAGATAAAGACGATGGGCTATATATTGGTTCAGTAAATCTTGTTTTTAACTTTATGCCTATTTATATAATGAACGAAGCCTAAAAGTATTGCCAGCAATTCAGCACTTAAACGTTGATGGATGATTTCCGCAACGCTATTGATTTTAGACACTCCCACATTATTGTCATCAAGCAAATGCTATCGAGCATTTCAAGATGCACCTTAAATGATTATATTTTTTTTTGTGGAAAAACAAAAACGAACAAAAATGATAGTTCCTCTCATCAGAGCGTTTGGGTCTAGAATAGGGTATCACTTTTCAGGAAACTGATCAGTTGGTTGAAGATTTTATCTAAACTAGGGATTGTGGTATAAGGTTTTGCTTTGGCTAAACTGTGCTAGTGACCTCAGTAGTTCTGGAAAACAGCTACTCTAGGATAATGGGGATTTGGGGAGTTAACTCTAGTATAGGGTAGTAAAATTCAGCTGAACTAGCTCTGGTATAGGTTAAGGATTCCAGGGTCCCAGCGGCACATCCCCACCCAGAAATTCCTAAAGTACCCCCCCCCCCCCCCCCCCCCCCCCCCGCGCCCCCCCCCCCTTTTTTTTTTCTCTCTCTTAGTGGTGAACGATAACATTTGTGACCGGGGGGGGGGGTACTTCCATATATGGGCTATATAGGTATGTGCCGCTCTGAAGGGTATGGTTTTCAAGCAGTTTACTCTAGGATAGGGTATATAAACCAGAGCGTTTGGGTCTAGAATAGGGTATCATTTTTCAGGAAACTGATCAGTTGGTTGAAGATTTTATCTAAACTAAGAATTGTGATATAAGGTTTTGCTTTGGCTAGACTGTGCTAGTGACCTCAATAGTTTCTGGAAAACAGCTACTCTAGGAGAAGGGGGATTTGGGGAGTTAAACCTAGCGTAGGGTACCAAAACTCAGCTGAACTAGCTCTGGTATAGGTTAAGGGTTCCAGGGTCCCAGCGGCACATCCCCACCCAGAAATTCCTAAAGTACCCCCCCCCCCCGGGGACTTGTGATTCCTAATCATTATTTTTCTATCCCTATAAGCTGCATTAATTCCAAGCATTCTCGTTCTATTATTCGATTTTGCTCCTCTGGAGCACTCCGCCAACTTTCTGTATTAGCAGAGGAATTTCTAACGGACGAAAATGGTTTGCCTGCTTCTCTGACCAGAGCTTCTGCACTTGGACTGGTGTTCACAACGATCCACTTTAACAGATCTTCCGGCATCTCAAAGCCGGCAAATTTGTAAATCTTTAACGACGTCTTGATTGGATATTTGGCAATATCTCGGTAATACACTTCCATGTATTTGTTTCGGTACTCTTCTGGCAGGTTTCTGCCATATTTTACGTTTTCTGCAATTCTCGTGCAAGGGTATCTTACTTGATGAACAAATGATGGGGAAGTGTGGTTCGGCATCCAACCTAATTTTATCCTTGACGCAAGGCTTCCGCGCGGATCTCGAAGAATTTGAATGACTTTGATATCTGTGTCCGGGTTTTCTATAAATACCTGAGGCACAATACTGGACAATTCTAACTTAGGGACTCGTCCCTGGGCTATTTTAGTAACACTGTGCCGATATCGAGATGCGCACATTTCGGCGGCAAAGTTTGGAACCAAAGAGAGATCTGGGCAAGATTTTTTCCTGGACTCTGCGACGCTGCAGAAGTTTTCTGACAAGAATGGATTCTTAAAAGAGGCGCCCGACCATTTTCGTGACGTGTGGGCCAGAAATCTTGTAGCTAATGGAAATTTTGTAAAATTACAGCTAAGAATTCCATCTATTACTTCAAGCTCACTACGCGTCCAATCCTCGCTCGGTTGCTTTTTCCTCCATGCCTTTGTAACCCAGAGCGGCTCGTAGATCATAAACATTTGCGGATCTTCGCTAAACATTCGGCTGATAAAAGTCGTTCCCGATCGGTCGGCCCCGAAGATCAGCAAACTTCGTCGGCGTTGTGAGAAATCCAATAGATTGTTCGGTTCTTCCGGCGTTGGGCTCAGAATTAGTGCTTCTTCACTGGAATGCATGTTTTTGGATGTTATTTGTAGTTCACTTCCAAAATGTTTCGGGTAATCATAAGCGATAATGTTTCTTCGGTGGTTTCCATACAGGAAACCAGTCAAATAAAATACGGCAGCAACAACGATCGCAATGGCCAGCAATCGTAGACTGATGCGAAATGGCGGCATTATTGGTAACTGCACCAATTCAAAAATTCCTGCAATAAAACAAAACAAGTGTTATCAGAAAGATTGTTTATCTGCTCTGTCAAACATACTAGAAATAAAATTCCAAAACAAATGTTGGCACTGTACGATACTTTATGGTCACTTCCCTATGAAGGCATATTCCTTTGACATACAAAATTGTATTGTCAAGGGTTCGAATCCCGTACAAGCCTGAATTTTTTCAGGCTTTCTTTTCGCAACTGCAAAAGTTACGTTGCGTCTATAAATGAGATGATCTACTTTCAAATAACTGTTCACCCCGCAGTTCACATAAATGATTTTCATATATTCATAACTTCAAACAAAATTGTATTCGACATTTGTGGTTTACACGTAAGAGGGCCTTTAATATCAGTGACATTACTCGTACCCAACTGAAAAGCTTAAAAAGCTTGTAGTGCCAATCGTGAAAAGGCCCCGTTTTCTTGCCGCTTTCGACAAAGGTACTTTCAAAAAGGTACCACGTTGGAAACGCCAATGAAGAAAAACGCTACGACCAATCAAAATTATTTTGAAATCGCGTGGCTCCAATTTGTCTAGCAGATACCGTCTTTTATATTTTATTCACTAAATAGGACTGTAAAATAGAAAAAAAGTTATTCGAGAGATTAATTATTGTGTCTAAATTTTTCTCAAAAATAAACCATGAAATTTACATTTGAAGTTTTTGCTTTACAATGAACGGTAAAGAAATGTAGTGATGTAAACGCACGAGTGGAGGTATTAGTTTGCTCATTTATAGTGAAGCTTAGCCGAAAAACGTTTTTGAGCGAGGCGCGTCAACCGGAAGTGACTTCGCTGATACTAATTTAGTAGCGTCAAGGCATACTTATAAAAGGACGGGAGAAAGCCTCACTTCCAGTTGACATGCTTCGCTCAAAAGCGCCTTTGCTGAAGCTCCCATTATCCCGTTGTTCTTCCAACAGCATAATTTGCCAGTTCCTTGGCCCTTGTGATCAAACGTTAATTGGGAAAAGTGAACGCACATTGCCAATTTACCTTTCTCCATCCTAACTTTTAAGATCCAAGTTTATGTATGGATATTTCAATCGTCCAGCAATGTAAATTTAACTAATAGAACGAAGAGATGCGATTTTGAAGCTTCGTTTCCTTATACCCCCACCAATTAGTACTGTTGGTAATTTTGCTATTGCTCTTTTAATGCGATAAATGAGAAATGAAATAAAATAAATTTCACAAAAAGTTTTCGCGTTGTTGTAATGAAGGAAAGAAACTACTAACTAATATCAGATGCGGAAAATATAATGTAATAAATTCTAACAAGAGAAAAAACCGCTAATTATGACAGGAGAGTATTTAGCCTTATAAAATAGTTTCAACTATCAATTTCTAAGAAACAACAAAGACTGGCCACTGACAAAACAAAAAGTTATTCTTGTATTTTATATACGCTTATGTGACAAATGAGACAATATGTTGCTGTTTTCAGTCGGTTTTATTTAAAACTGAAGAAAAACTGTATCTAGTTCCTTTGTTAAATTCCGAATGGCTACCTCCTGAGAAGTAACAGACTGAATTATTTGAAAAAAAAAAAAATACATGTACGAAAGCAATTAAAAAATTTACTCACTTGATCTCCCTGTTCGCTCTTTTGCCGCTAGTTTAACGGGTCGCCCTTTGTTTAATCCAGTATGAACTGAGCAGAACGTTAAACAGCACTCGAAACTTTTAGCAGTAAATGAACCCCTGTTTATAATGCTATACAATGTTAAATTGCATATAAACAGGAGGAATAAACGGGCATTATCCACCGAATATCACATGCAGGTTTATACAGACGATTGAGCACAACTTTGTAATACAATCGTCGCGGCAAGCGTTTCAAATGCTTCATTTACTGAGTAAAACAAACAGAGCCCGGCAACTAAAAGGTCCATTAATGGCAAGCATAGCATTATCCTTGTTAAAATGTATTATAAGAGACATTACTTTATGGACTTTAGGGTATCTTAGGAACCCTTCAGTAGGCTTAACAATGAATTGAGTGTTTTGCGTAATTAGCCCAGTTTAACTTACTTAATCTCTTTCAAGGAATGCGCAGCTATAAGTTTTTTTTTTTTTTTTCGTCAAAACTTTGATTTTAATTGTGGTTGGCGCTTTTCGTCGATATTGTGGCGGCTGCACGGCTATTAGTAGGTTCCGGTGGCATGGGTGGCGGACCGTCCGTCCAAAACAAAACTGTGCCAAAATCTTAGCCGTATTTGAAGAGTCTCGGCGCAGTCGTAATTCCTGTCGAAATAAGACGTCGAGTTTTTACACTGTCGTTTTGTTTTGTTTATTAATTTGCTTGTTTGTTTTTTGAAGGCCAAGGAGGAACATCCGTTTTGTTGTTTGATTGCGACATGTTGAGGGTCGGCTTAAACGCGATGTCAGTGGTATTTTCCTTTTTTTTCTTTCTTTTTTTTTTTTCAGAATTTGAATGCTATTATCTCGAAATCGAATTTAAAACTCTGACAGTTTGTCAAAGTTTATCGACAGATCCATCGTCTTCTAAGTTCAATTAAAAGGGCAAGCAGAGCGTATTATGGTGGATTCGAAAAAGAGAATTCTAAGACGAAATTATGGAGACCTCGGAGGTTGTTATCGCTGAAGCCAAAACGCCCCTACTCTCCTCCCCTTGATTTGTATAAGTATTCAGATCACACTCAGCCTCATACTAATAATTGTTAAATATATATTACCATTTGTTTCTACATTTTTCTGTAAATATATCTTAAAAATAAATATGATCTTCTATTTTCAATAACAGAAGGAAACTCTCGTTTGACTCGCGCCGTAAGCCACCGATCACTTATGATAACTTGCGTTAGCATTCCCGATACCATCAGGTTGTTCAAAAGAAAGTTCTTCAGGGTTAGTCTATCCCTACCTGAGACAATAAGGAGCGTTTACCATTTGTATGGAAAACCTGGAAATTTCGGGGAGAATTCAAATGGAACGGTTCATGCCGGTGGAAATTTCCGGAAAAAAGTAATACCTTTCGAGGTATTACCTCTTTTCTGTTTTTGGCGAAACGACAGAAATTCTCTGTACCATTTGTTTGGATTATTTAACAGCAGTGTCAGGCTTCATGTCGAGAGAAAGTGAAAAATTTACCGGTATTTTGTAAATGGTACAACTCAATCCCCTTCCTGTTTTCGGTGCCAAAAAAAAGGCAGTACCATTTAACGGAAATTTTTAACCAAAATTTCCGTACAAATGGTAAGCGCTCAAGGTCCCCATTTCCACATGATCACTGGTCTCAACCACCTGAATGTCTACCCGTGTGCAACGCAAAAGGCAGCACATCACCCTGGGTAATATTGTAAGATCCTAACTGAGAATTGATCCAACCGGGAATTGAAACCGTGAAGTCTTCTCCCCAGACGGGCGCTTGGCAATCTGAGCTGACCATGCAAGGGGTGTTGCCTATTTTACCACTTTGACTCTCGTTAAGTGTGCAAAACGAAGACCTAACCATTGTTCTTATCTCTTATGATAACATCCTCTCTTTTACCGTCGCAAACTTTACAGAGGGCGAGTTGTGTTTTCAAAGTATCAAAATACCAGTAATGGTAATTGAGTACGACGAAGCTCACCCAGTTTCTTGCTCTACAAAGCAGCGTTCTATCAATGACTCCAAGGTACTATACTTATTACTACTTGCCCAGATTTTGCTGTCGCTTCCCAAGTTACCTAGTATGATTTCTTGACTCTTCCTTATCCTCGTACGTAAGCTCGCGCAATGCCATTTAGTTTCGGCAAAAGAATCCTCGTATGGTCGCAGTTACTTCTACTGCGATAAACTAACTTACCGCATATTTTGTAGATTACATTGACATCAAACAACTGTGCATTTTTCCACGACGAACAATTCTTCAGAAGCATTGATATCTCGTTGGCTTTCTGAGTTGACGAACGGGGCAAGAAAAATGATTGATGCTCCCAGAAGTATGACAATCCCTGTCATATAAAATGCTGGAACATATGAGCCCATCTCATCAGCCATGAGACCTACAAGATACATCGCAAAACCGCTAATAATTATACACATATAAAGAACCGAAAATAAAACGGATTATAATTGATTCAAAATATGTCTCCGTTCCTGATTGGTTAAAAGTACTCGCATAATTCACCATAACCTGCTACTGTTGACCAAATTTGGAAGAATTTTGCGATTAATCAACCGATGACGTCAAAAGTGCAGTACAGTTGCAGGTTAATGCACCGTAAACCGAGAAGACCTGGTGACGAGGTTGAGTTGTTTTGGTTGTGAAAAGAAAAATGGCCGAAGAGTCGGCGGCACATTTTACTCGTTTCACGACGAACTTTTGTCTAAAAACATAGCACGAAGACAACTCGACGGATAACATCTGCTATTTGGAGTATATTTGAAGACCTGAACAGCCCTTTATCACCATCATAATTTCATATATTCGAATTTTTGCGTCTATGGCTCTCGGAAATAAGTCTTGAAAAAGACGCTAGAGACAACTTGGAAATAGCCCGCAAAAAATGTGCTACATTCGGCGTTTTATGAACGAGTGAGGGCAGGCACGAAGCGGGCGTGAAGCACCACACGCGCTTGTCTCACGCTCCACGCCTGCTTCACGCTCCGGTTCGGTCGCCTGAAAAACGCGAGCTAATAAAGTCTGTTCTGCAGGCTCATTATACGTTTCTGGGAAACTGCCTACCTACCCCTCTCCCAAGCCAACATTTTGTCCTAAGTGAGAAGTAAGTGTTAATGTTGACGCATAATTATACGTTTCAGGGAAACTGCCTACCTACCCCTCCCCTAAGCCAACATTTTGTCCTAAGTGAGAAGTAAGTGTTAATGCTGGCTTATGGGAGGGGTAGGTGAGCAGTTTCCCAGAAAAGTATAATGATCCGAAACAACTTAGTAAACTTGAAAACATTTACCTGCAAGAGGAGGACCAGCTGCAGCCATAGACGCACTGACCATAACAGCAAGACCGAATCCTAGCGATCTTTTCTTACTGGTGAAACACGAAAGAATAGCGATGGTCGACGAGCATCCGATGGCTCCGTCGGCCAGTCCGAAGACTATGAAATATAGTACGAAATGAAAGTATCTTCTTGCAAGAGGCAAAATAAGAGTTGCGACTCCATTAACTCCTGCCACAAGCTGGAAAATGTAAATTGCTTCAATATGCTTCAAGTCACATAACCAGCCCACTACAGGACGGCAAAGCATTGAGGTTAAACCGCTGTATAGGTAGAGTCTGGAGGCCTGTGTGGCTGTTATTCCTAAATCTTCACAGTAGCGAACCTAACGACGAAAAGATAACATGTGCGTCAAAAAAGAGATTGATGAAATGAGAGTTTTAAGGAGGATATGTCACGATCGGAGGTCAACCCTTTGTTTCCTTCTCTAACCCTCCCCCTCCCCCCTTCGTTCCACTCTTTTGCTCTCGTCCCAACTTTCCCGACGAACTCGTGTGGAATCGCTTGCCACGCAGGCTGGCTCTCTAGGATCATTACACGTTTCTGGGAAACTGCCCACTTACCCCTCCCATAAGCCAACATTAACACTTACTTCTCACTGAGGGCAAGATGTTGACTCAGGGGAGGGGTAAGCAGGCAGTTTCCCAGAAACGTACTATTACTTGACCCATACACACAATGCTACTGTAGAGTTAAACAAGAAGACACGAAACAAATTTCATCAGGGAGCACTAAACATACTAATTCATTGACCTGAGGGCATGTAAAAATTTAAAAAAAAAATGGACCAAGCAAATTTCCCAGTCGTTCTTGCTTGCCGCGAAAATGTCTTGAAAAAAGACGTCACAATCATTCCCAGTTTCCTGTTTTCAGTTGTACGGACCGCACCGGAAGTGAAATTTCACGTTTTTGGTACGTTAAAACAGGGGGAAGAAAAATCTTCAACTTTTTTTTTTGCTATTCTTATCAAGACACTATGTAGATTCTATCAAGTAAACAGAAAAATTCTGTCGTATACACTTTTATTTATTAAACAGCTTTCAGTGATGTCGAAGTGGAAGTGGTCCATTTTTTCTACCCGTAAACTCACCATGTGAACAGAAGGAATGTAATGAACGACATAGTACAAATTCATTGACAGAAATATGATGTCAAAACGCTTGTTGCTAAACAGGGACCACACGCTTTCACAAAATCTTTCCTTGGCATCTTTCTTAATAGCTTTATTTTCCTCCTCCTCTGGCGGCATACGTCGAACAGTGCAAACTAGCGGAACGGAAAGGGCCACAACTCCAGCTAATATCATATACGTCCTTCGCCAGTCAAGCTCATCAAGAAGAGCTTTCATTACGAAGCTCATGACGAACATCCCTCCACCAGGGCCCATAGCAACAAGTCCCACAGCTAAGGAACGTCTTTTGACAAAGTACCTCGGCAAGACGAGATATGGAGGGAGAAAGATAAAACTTGAACCAAACCCGAACATAACGCCATATGTTATGAGAATGGAATAGATGCTGTTTCCTTGTGAGGTGGCTAGGAGAGCTCCAGAGCAAAGTACAACTCCAAGAATAACTGTTGCACGAGGACCAATCCTGTTGTACACTTTAGCCACTAGTGTGCTGAATATTCCCATGCCTACCATAGCTAACGAGCCAACTAAAGCTGAGGACAGTAAAAGACATTTATTTGTATCTAGAATAGTGTCATATGTCACGTGAATACCACTAAAAAAAGTTACACACATAGAATATCGAGCCAAACCAGGAGCTGAAACAGTGGTGGATCTAAGGGCTGGGGGCTGGGGGGGGGGGGGGGGGGTAGGGACCGAGGGCCAGCCCCCTTCCCACTTATTTTTGAAGCAAAGCAAGGCCCACTGCTAGAGCTAGGGCCTTAGCAGGTTCCTCTATTACCTTGAGGTCTGAATTCACAAGTGCCTACCCACCCCACCCCAGACAGAGCCCCTTTAAGCCAACCGTGGTAAGCAGAAAATGGTCACACACACATGACTGGAGGAATGGGATAGGCTGCATCCCTTGCTTCTCTTATCTTGTGACTTCACTGCTTGACACTCCTGCCGGTAATAAACCTCCAACTTTCAAGACAAATAAGTTGAGCTGCTTGATGCCTAGGATCCATGCAAGTCATTAGAATTCCTGCCCCACTGAGATAAACTCAGCCGAAATCAAGTCATACCATACATGTAATAGTCAGTGGGCTGTTGTAACCTTACACAATGTTAGTCTGTCAAGGACTCAAAACTTAATTTTCTAAGCAGTTCAATTAGTGAAAAATCGAATCCAGTATGCCCCCACTGCACCNGGGGGGGGGGGAGGGGGGTAGGGACCGAGGGCCAGCCCCCTTCCCACTTATTTTTGAAGCAAAGCAAGGCCCACTGCTAGAGCTAGGGCCTTAGCAGGTTCCTCTATTACCTTGAGGTCTGAATTCACAAGTGCCTACCCACCCCACCCCAGACAGAGCCCCTTTAAGCCAACCGTGGTAAGCAGAAAATGGTCACACACACATGACTGGAGGAATGGGATAGGCTGCATCCCTTGCTTCTCTTATCTTGTGACTTCACTGCTTGACACTCCTGCCGGTAATAAACCTCCAACTTTCAAGACAAATAAGTTGAGCTGCTTGATGCCTAGGATCCATGCAAGTCATTAGAATTCCTGCCCCACTGAGATAAACTCAGCCGAAATCAAGTCATACCATACATGTAATAGTCAGTGGGCTGTTGTAACCTTACACAATGTTAGTCTGTCAAGGACTCAAAACTTAATTTTCTAAGCAGTTCAATTAGTGAAAAATCGAATCCAGTATGCCCCCACTGCACCCTACACTAGTGGTCAAAAGTTTTCCCCCAGTTAATATCTTCAAACTCACACTAAACAGAAAATAAAAGGCCATTTAACAGAATATAATACCCTACTCTAATCTGATTGTGAAATCTTTATCATTAAGTAGACTAACCCTTTATAAGGTTCTACTCACCAGTAAGACCCTTTCCCTGCTGAAACTCTGCCAAGAGAGTAGGAAACATGACTCCATAACTGATAATAATCCCACATATAATTATGTTTGAAACAGCACAGGCCAAGCAAACAACCCATGACCAGCATGAATCAGGTTGCACAGAGTTCCTACTGGCTGAACAAGTGATTGCCTGCTCAGATGCATAGACTGTTTGTACGACACTTGATTGCTGCTGCCTTCCCATTAGTATTTGTTGGTGTCCTGTGACTGTTCACTCTTAGTTGCGACTGCAAAGGAAATAAATGTCACGATAATATATACTGGTCAGTAAAAACCTGACCAATGCTTGAATGCATTGGCTTCAAATAAAAAAAGTGCACTGCATGTGAGTATTATTCACTGTTCACATCTCAACAGTCAGTGATCTGACCAATCAGATCATTATACCAGAATCTGTTTTCATAGATGGGCGACATCAAAACAAAGTCTACAGGCTACCCCAGCCTTTTTTCTCTCCCACGCCCCACTCCACTTTAGAGCCAGTTCGTAGGCTACCGTTTGACTTTTTGAGAAAATGCTTGTCCTCATGGTCAACCCAGTTTCAGCCCAACTTTGTGTTACTGTCACCATTTCATTTGTACTCAAGTCACTGTCTTGAGGCCATGTCCCTTGTCAGAATTTTACACTGACAAGGCCCCAAAAATTTGTCACCCTCTTATTAAATTAATGTTTGTTAGACAGTAGCTCATTGCTGATCAAATTGGAATTTAGACACACTGACTTTGTCTATGAGGCCATCAGTTTTCTTCACAGATGGCAGAAGAAAATGATTCTATTACCAAGGAGGAAACTAAGAACTAAAATGGTAATGATACTTTTAATTTCTACTTTACCTATTAGAAGTAACTCTTTGACATGATTATTTGTCTAAACTGACATTTACAAATTATTGTAACATACTCGATCAGCATGGCAAAGTGACACTGCAGTCTCTATGATTGTTCATTCTTCTTCAATAAAAGATTTTTAAATATGATTTCAGAAAAACCTAGAGGCACCGAGTCAAATCATAGGCTGTGCTCACACTATACGGAATAGTTTTTTGTGGCGTCACGAAAATCTATCAGGTATATTGTGAACACCTATCCAATATGTGACTCTCACTTTAGAGATTGACACGGCGCGCCGTGGCAAGGATCAGGGCAGCGCAGCGCGGTGCAGCTTTGCTCCATCACAGAAGTCGCGCCGCGATGACTGTTCTTGTGTGTGAACAGAAGTCCTATCCGGTATGATCTCATGACGGCGCCAAAATCCGCTACAGTATGAACATGGCCCTAATTGTAAGAACATGAAACATTATTATATCATGTTTCTTTGTGTCATAATTTTCATTCTTCATTTTCCTCGCTGTTCATAGTGTTCAAGGTGTCAGTTAAAAAAATATATTCATAGATAGATAATCTAGAAGCCGAGTAACCAAATTTAACCAGTCTTGTTTAAAGTAGTCTTTGTGTTGAGTGAGATCAGACACTACACGCGCCTTTGTAGAAAAAAGGCATCAAAGCCGCCGCAAAATGATCGGTCATGTTCCCAGTTCCATAAGCGTTTATTACAAGGCCGGCTTTTTAAAAGATTAGAAAATACAATACAAAGCAAGGACTGACTATTTTAAAACATAATATATCAATATTTGAGCTAACGTTTTCACTAAGTCTTAATTAATACGCGTATGTATAAGCTTATAAGCTTAAAGTTGACTGAACTTTAAGCATCTCAACGGATTCACCTACCTTTGTTCCACGCCAAAGGGACTTGATAGTCTAGCACACCTTATTGAAATGCTTGCTAAGGTCCATACGAAACTTTGCCCTCATAAAAAAAGGAAACCTAAGAAACGACTTTTGATGATGAGTGTTGCACCATTTCTCGGGTTGGTGAAGAAACAGTATAGCGTGACTCGTGACATTCCTGGCTCAGCACTATGCACTTCCTATAGAAAAAAACTTCCGGTTCTATGTTATGGTAGGGGAAATGGGTACTGAAGCTATGAGGCAGTCTTTCTTGAGGTAAAAAGTTTATGAATGTAACAATTTTAAGTCACTGTCTTATCTTGGTATTCAAAGGCTTTTTCGTGCATTCGAGAGTTCAGCAATCAAAAGTGCCCCAAGGCCGGTGAGAGATTGGGAATTACAACATCAGTGGTCACGCTTCCTGTCACGAAAAGTTAAAGTGAAGGTCAATAAAGTTTTGCAGGCATGGAAGACTTGAACATTTTCCAAGAGAAAGAGGGGGAATTCACGGGACCAAGGCATGCGTTGATTAAAAATGTAAGAATTCCTTTTTATGAACCCAACATAGATAAAGATTTTGAAAAGGATCTAAGCCGTTTCGAAACCAGACCAGACGATGTATATGTTGTCAGCTATCCTAAATCAGGTAGGATCATAGTTAAATACCTTGCACGTTGACATTTATTAATACAAAAAATGGTGATATTTTCGGTGCGTCGGATATCATCTTTTCACAAAATACAACTTTCCGAAAAGTTGTACTCAACTGACATGGAAACTAAGGGACGCAACGGCAATAAGCCATCAAGTCTTCTGAAGGGAGCCTGTGCCGACAGACGCTGTGAGCTCGAGTATGTAGCATTATAAAACTTAACTGATACCCCCCTTAAGAAACTAGGCCAGTGATCCTCCCCCCGCATTTACGAAGAGATCTCACAGCTTCATCATCAGAATGAGGTTGGCCGATAGATGTGTTTGTAATGTACTTTATCTTAAGAGGAGATTTTTTTTTTGCTTCTTCCCCTTTTTGTGTCGTCACGCAACGCTTAGGAATGGATGCTTGCGTGACGACACAAAGGTATGGAGATGTCACAGCTTGGTAATGAGTGTGCCAAGAAATAGCAATCACCGTATCACATTTTATCGCGTCATTCCCACAGGAACAACCTGGCTTCAGGAAATTGTTTGGCAGGTGTACCATAATGGTGAAATAAGCAAAGAGGGAGTGGAGAGTCGATACCCGCAACTGGAGAAAAGTCAACTCTTTCAGAGGCCCGGGGATGAATCTCAAGCTGTCCTTAACTCTCGACCCAGTCCCCGACTCATCAAATCGCATCTTCCCTATCACCTGATACCAATGAGTGAAAATGAGGCCAATAGAAGCAAATATCTCTACATCGCCAGAAATCCAAAAGATGCCGCCATTTCATTTTATCATTTTGTCAGCAGTTTTGGCCCCGCCAGCCATTTTAGTGGAACTTGGGAGTTCTTTGCAAAACTGTTAATTGAAGGCAAAGGTATAAATTCTGTAAAATACCTACTTGAATATGCAGATATTGACTAGAAATTTATGCAGCCCGAGAAAGGCTAAAAGTTGCTAAAAGACTGTTCCATTCATCTGATAATTTCTCCGGTTTTTTCCCTTGAACATCTACGATTGAAAAACCCATTTTAGGAGAGATCAGAAAATCTTTCGTTTACCCAACATATAATTTTACAGCGCCACTTTTATTATATGCCTCCGCAAAGATTAAAAAGCAATGCTCAAGATAGCCTTAAAAGACCTTCAGTACTTAACGCATTTGAGAGAACAGGACGCTAAGTGTCCCTGGAGTATTTCCCTTGCGCCCAATACTTTCTAGTACGTCATATTCTTTGGAACAAAATTACTGCAATGTTGGATATAGACTAACTGTTAAATAGACTAGGAAACAGTAGGTTTTTTTCCCTCATAATCGGTTTTTAAAGGCGCGATGCGGGTGAGTCTCACTTTTTTTTTTCAACCTCTAGGGCGTTTGTTTCCTGATCTACTCGAAAATACGGGCTGTTTTTGCCGTCTATGTAGGCTACATCATTTTAACAACCCATATATTTCCAAACATTGCCTCAATGCTAAATTGCTGCTGGTTTCTTTGTAGGAGCGTTTGGTTTTTGGTCTGATCATGTTTTACCATGGTGGGAACACAGAAACGAGCCACATATTCTGTTCCTTAAATTCGAGGATTTGAAGAAGGTAAGTAAACTGTGATGTTTTTGTTACATGTACTTTTTTCTAACACCCAACAGCGACCGTCCAAGAAACACTAGTGAAGATGTTTTTACTGCTTAAATTCCTTTCATCGTTGAACCTGACCTAAAAGCTGATGCTAGAGAAATTTAAGAATCAGTTTATAATTTTCAGGCTCTTCGTACTTCGCATAGAACAAAGCGCGAAACGCGACTGACTGGTGACGAAGCGCAATGGACCATGGGAAGGAGAAAGAAGAGAGGCGAAGCGCCGTCTCGCCCGTTTTCTCCTTCCCGCCTTTCTTTGAGCGCCAATTTTCATCGAGAGACGTCTGGGTACGAGGCAAATGTTACTACTAGTCGGCAAGAGATTTCGCGTTAGACTGGGTCAGTTTTGTGTTCAATAGCCCACGTTCGATGAATGTTTAAATTGTGACACTATCGGATGCTGTTACAAGGTTGCGCAGAGAACAGAGTCAAAAGTCCTTTCCCAAAACACGTCCCATAGTGCAATTCGACACAACTTTGACCCAGTCTCACGCATATCCTCAAAATGGCCAATGTTTTTATTTATTGGTTATTATCATCATCATCATTACTGCCACCACCACCACCATTATCATTATCATCATCACCATCGTCACCTTTATCATCATCATCATCATCATCATTATCATTATCACCAACACCACCATCACTATTACTATTATTTATTTGTTTATGTATTTATTTATTTTATATTTGTACTGGAATCTGTTATAGGACCTATACAGTAATGTTGAACGGATCAGCAAGTTTCTCGGAATCAACCTCCCAGATGATATGATCGCCAGAATTGCCCATCAATGCACGTTTGGTGAAATGAAGAAAAACGCCGCCAATTTTAAAGTTGATAATAATCCCTCTAAACCAAGTTTTCTTCGCAAAGGTGAAGTTGGAGGGTGGAGGAGTCAATTCAGCGAAGAATTAAACAGACAGTTTGATGAGAGGCTGTTTTCCAAGATAAAAGGAACAGGATTAGAATTTGAGTTTGGAGATTAAGTTTTATTCTTTCTCGCAAGACACGGTCGAGGGACTTAGAAGGGAATTAACCAAGCAGTTTAGTAAAAATGTATTTATGTTTGATTTTGCTAATTATTCACTATGAAATTTTTAACATCATGGAAAAATCAAAGCCTCATGAGAAAAATTCAATATGGTTCCTAAGCATAATAATTCAAAGTTACATCGACAAGAGAAGAACTTTGAAAACTCTTTAAGCTGAACTTTTTAAATAAACTCCAATTATTGGAGTTTTGGAAACTTGTGCAGTTCCCACTTTAAAAACGAGAGGGCCGAGTTTATGTTCGCAAAGAATTCTGGGACTGTTAAAAGGAGCGGAAAAATTGACCAATTAGGCTGATTTATCAACAGGACGGGAACGTCAGTTGGCATCAGGAAAGCAGGCGGAACGGACTTAACGCGACTTCCAGAGCCCAATTTGCGGCTCTGCCATTGGTCAAGGTTGTTCTTTATTCTGCGCGTGCCGTCGTTAACTGACGTTACCGTTCTGTTGCTAAATCAGCTGACAGGCACGTACCCAGTAACGATTCCAGAAACAATTGCAGTCTTCCAGTCCCCTTCTTGTTACTAAAGTGGCGAATACGCTAACCTCGTTCCCAGGGTTCTCTCCTACCCGTCGCTAAGGACCGAGAGAGAATAGGTAGGAGAGAGAGCCTAGGAACGAGGCTGGCGAATACGCTACTGAATGTGGAGAAACAACCAATGGTAGGTCGAGTCTTTGTTCACACTTTACAGGATCAATAATTATTTTTGTGCACGGCACTATTGTATAAACAGCAACGACAAAAAGTAACTCAAAACCGATACGGTGCAAACAGCATAATCACTTTCGCGAGAGCTTCGTCGCGTCGCCACAGGATATCAGCTGAGCCACAAAAATCGTGCCAAACTGGCGCTTCTTGTATGAACAAAATGCCAATCCATTTTCGTGTGAATGTAGCCTTAGTGACCGGCATTTCTTGCAGCTGGGCAAATTTGTTCAGTATTACGAAGGTAGTTGCACCCTAACGGGCGTTTTTAATCATGTTGAAATGGCATCAAGACTGTTTTTTTTAGCTCAGTTTGTTTGACTGTAATTTTCAAGTAGTTAAACCACATGGTGGTACTCTAGAGAATTATTTCCTTTAAATCTTATCCTATTCGACTGCACACGGGCGCATAATTCATGAAAAGACAAAGTACCCACTTCACTTCGCTTCACCCCCTAATAATTATATACCAGTGCTAATTTAAAAAGACCCACTCCGATAGCTGTTCAGGGCTTTTAAGGCCAAACTGGCATACAAACGCTACGTTTTGAAAGTCCGTTGGAGCAGGTTCGTACTGTGTTCTATCGACATCCATAGCATCAGTCAACCAGACTAATCACGGCTTTCCTAGCTGCGTCATCCATGTCATCTGCAGGGATCAGCGGCATCCCGCTCTCAGTTAGAATATGTTTGGCTTTTTCCACGTTCGTTCCTAGAAATCAGAACAAAAATGACAATAAGATGACTTGTTGGGATTCATGTTTTGTTTTGTGTGGCAGTGGAATTACACGCTGGTTCAAGGAACAAAATAGACGGGTGGAAACCTTAATGTCGTAGCTACTTAGAAAGACTCTACCATATTTCGAGCAACAACAATTTGCCGTCTGTCCTCTTTGAATACAAACTTATGATCCACTTAAAATCAAGGTAAGACCATTTCACCTAATTATCAAATACTTAATGGTCATGACAAGGTTTAGCTGTATGCCATGGCACTGATCTGTATTGGAAATCTTTGCGCAATACCGACACCATCTTTTCACAGAACAAATAGGGAGATAAGCCATAAATTATTTACCATCAATTTCGGTTAAATCAGCTCGTGATACAAATGCGCGGCAAATCTTTCTTTTAGACTTTCAAAGAATGTGACCAAGCAAAGTATCTTGCCATTTAGTTACAAGTGGGGTGATATAATTATTTGTGAAGCTTAAGCCCCCTAGACATCGTATAACGCTTAGCTCAGTCAGTCACGATCATATTTTCACATTTACGCTTCGTTTTCACTAGACATACACGAAATAGTGTTATCCACCTTTTCAATAATGCCTGTTAACCCCCCTCTCCCTCCCCCACAGGTTATTTTAGCCTCTTCAGACTCTCCCCAGTCTTTCTCCGCATTTAAAATCAAAGCTGGCAGCACCACGCCTTCAAAAACAAACCCGTTTTCAAATCAAACAACACGCGTACATTATCTGTGAAAAAAATATCTATTTATCTAATTCACACTTACCTTCTAACCTCACTATCACAGGAACTTGTACGTTCAGTCTTTTGTAAGCAGAAGTTATTCCATTCGCGACAATTGAGCAGTCAACGATTCCACCAAATATATTCACCATAATTGACTTGACCTATGAGCGAAAACAGTGGCAAAGCAACAACATTAAAGAGTATTGGAGAAAAAAATTATTTTAAATACTTACTCAGGTCGTGCAGCGTGGAGCATACNCACCATAATTGACTTGACCTATGAGCGAAAACAGTGGCAAAGCAACAACATTAAAGAGTATTGGAGAAAAAAATTATTTTAAATACTTACTCAGGTCGTGCAGCGTGGAGCATACAATAGCAGCGGCAGCAGTTCGATAGAATTTCTTAATTCCATTTTGTGAAAAAATAATGCTCTAAAATAAAGGGCGCCGTTTGAAAGAGCGGCTAAAGGGACGTTTTATTTGAATGGTCACACTGCAGGAATTTTATTCACAGACGTAAAAGTAGATCCACTTTGTACAGCACAGTAAACAGTACCGCTGTAAAGTACTGGTCAGTAGCTTTCATCTGAATGGTAACACTTTAGGATTTCATCCACAGACTCAAAAGTTAGAACCACCTCGTACAGCATTGTAAACAGTACCACAGGAAAGTACTGCTCAGTAGCTTTCATTTAAATGGTCACACTTTAGGATTTCATCCACAGACTCAAAAGTTAGAACCACCTTGTAAAGCATTACAAACAGTACCACAGGAAAGTACTGCTCAGTAGCCTTCATTTGACTGGTCACAACATTGGGTCTCGCCCAAAGACTCAAAATATAGAGCCAACATAATAGACTGGCTCCACCATTCAACTTGGGAGAGAAGGGGTTAACAGGTCTTATACTTACCCGCGGATCCTTTGTTACAATATTGAAAGCTTGAAACACTCCTTCCTCTTGTACACCTCCCCCAAGGTCCAGAAAATTAGCCGGGGTACCCCCGTGGAGTTTGATAATGTCCATAGTTGCCATAGCCAATCCAGCACCATTCACTAAAGAGGACAGTATAAAGATAAAAGTAACTGTTGTACTCACCCCTGCGAACGACAAGTCTGCGTAGCAAAGAAAGTGACGAGCTCCCTGGGGGAAGTGGCCCGGCGTCCAGGTGTTTTGTTTTTCAAACGGCTATTTTCCAACCGTAACTCACATTTTTTTTTTTTTTTTTTTTTGGGGGGGGGGGGGGGGGGGGGGGCCGGGCTTTGGCCCATTCCTTTTCCCTTGTCCTTTATTAAAGAGGTTTTACAGTCTTCTTGGGGGGGGGGGGGGGTGTGGGCAGCCATCATAATCATTATCGACATCATCGTCATCGTCGTCGTCGTCGTCGTCGCCGTCATCATCATCGTCGTCATCATCATAATTAGTACCTCGCAATGGCCACGCCCTTATTCGAGACCCTCACCCTTACCCACATCCCTAAGTAAATTAAAGCGAATAGCGTGAAGCACTGTCCCCCTATCATGCATCATTGAGCATTCTTTCCCATCACCGATAGTTTTTCTTACCGAGACAGGCAATATTTCCGTCCAGGCCGATATAATTGAGGTCATATTTTCCAGCTTCCACTTCACGAGGGTCACTCTCGCTGTGATCTTCCATGGCGAACACTTCTTTCTGCCGGAACTTGGCGCTGTCATCGAAGTTAAACTTGGCGTCGAAGCACACCACTTAAAAAACGAGGCACAACACAGTTTTTTTTCTTTCCCTTCATTCAAACTACTTAACTACTTTAAGGTCTACTGAAATTAAAATGGGCCTACACTCAGCCTACGCTAAGCAAGAGACAACGCAGGATCTCGTTGAATAAAGTAGCGTAAGCAAACGCAATTTGAGCAACAGACGGCAATCCGAAATGGATTTTCAGTTACATTTTTGGGCAGTGGTTTTGTTCAAATTTCACTTAACAATTCAAAAGTGGTAGCGTCAAGGTGAATCAAATGGGAACCGCTCAAAAACGCTTCTGTTTTAACTCCCTAATGAACGCGGGGTGGTCCTAGGACTTTCTCAGGACCTCAGTTATTAGTAAATTTATTTATTTCGCTTACGTTGGCTGTCACGTCCGATTGCTAAAAGCCTTTTAGTTCCCCCACCCTCCCTTCTTTCTGTATGTCTTTGGGTAAGTATTAAATTTTTCCACTGAGAAATGCAGGTTTACGGTGCAAGATGGTTGCCATTCACAGCGTTGTTATGGTTACATTCTGCATTCGGTTGCGGCTCACACAGACTTTTCAGACAACTTCCTCGCACTTTTCTATTGGAGATAAGTTTAAAAGGAATGACGAACATCTTTAGGTGAAACTTAACCCTATGACTCCTAATACCGAAATTAAAATCCCCATCATTTGGTGCCCCTTTAAGTTTTCTACTGAAGTATTGGGGAGAAGTTGATAAAGTATTTAAAACTCGTCATTTCTGTTGTGATGATGGCCTTAATTCTTGTCACCAATCTGTTTTATAAAGTGACTGACATTTCAAGGAGAAATTTGATGCTGATCACTCTAAGGGCTTAGGGAGTACCTTTTCCATCGGGTGTTTCTCCAAAAGGATTGATTTCCACCTGTGTTGCATCGACTTTAAGGAAGAGTTTGTAAAGCAACTTGATCTGCTCAGCTGCCTGAGAAAAGTAAAGGGGACAAGAACACCAGATGAGAAAACTTACTCAGCCCTGTACAGGATTCCAACCCTTGACCTCTGCAATACCGGGGCAGCGTTCTACTGGACTGTTCACAGTCCCTAATTTTTCCGTAAAATCGTCAAGGTCGATCGAGCGCTATGGGTTACAGGCAGCCATCTTGGTCTAAAATGTTGATGTTTATGTGATGTCTTACAAGATTTTATCAACTTAATAAATGTAGATGTAGATGAATGTTCCGAGTATAACCTAAGATGAGTGTCAAACCCACTTAAGGGATGGGGAACGTTTTGGGAGAAGGCGAGAAAAACTCCCTTCCACCACCACGATGAACTCCAATGCCCACCCCCTCAGCACATATGTAGATGGCCACTCATACTGGTAAGCACTCGATCATGGCGACCTTACAAAAAAAGAGGAGACCGAGAGCAGCCTGGCGCTCTGCAAAGTGAGCTAACACACACACTGCGAGAAGGTCATTGAATTGGTTCAACCTGCTCCCAGTTGGTTTGTTATCTCAAATGGTAAAGCACTGCGCCGGTATCACAGAGGTCAAGGGTTCGAATAACTTACAAGCCTGAATTTTTTTCAGGCTTTCTTTTCACAGCTGCAAAAGTTGCCTTCATAACTGCGATGTTCTTCTTTTATAATTAATTCTTTACCCCGCAGTTCCTATACATGATTCTCATAGGAAACCTGTCGTTTTGAGACAAGTCATTTCAATACAAACTCAAGCTGCCAGTGAAATTGCACAAACATTTTGTCCACTTCAAGTATAGTTTGCAAGTGAACAACAAAAATATTTTGGGTGAATATCTTCGTTCTTTAAGCCAAGTACATGGAACTATTTACACCTCAAATGAATAAACTTGTATCGAAATGATTTTTATCGAAACAACTTTGTATCAAAACGACCAGTAACCATCTCATACATTCATTATTTCCTTGTATTAACTTTCTTAGAAGGTTCTAAAGTCGTTCGACACTACTTTCTACATTACACTCCTTACTACCTGTTCTAACATTGGTCCTTTAAATTCTAATTTGTCTGCAAGATATCTGGCATCTACATCAGGAATTCCTTTGAAAATGTCAACAGCTAACTGTTAAGAGACAATGTAATAACAAAAATGAATAAAATATTATACAAAGAACTCTCGTCAAGCTTACGATTTAGCATAAATCTGTACACTTCATGCTAATGCTGATTTCTAGCTGTTTTCACCGGCTACTCCTTTGTTGTTCTGTTCTTTATTTACAAGTAGTTTAGTCCTAAAAAGTGTCATTCTGTCCTCGCACTGGATTACACAAATAATCAAATAAGTTCTGCAACCTGTTTGTACAGTGTTAAGCTATATTTTGTCAGGCCTGCAAGGAAGCATGCCGGAAGAGAACGCACAAGCAAGCGGCAAAGCACACACGTCTCCTTTCCCGTGCAGCTTTCGCGTGACTTCTCACGACTCTCCCAAATGGAGAGCTAGGTTACAGGCTAAATCTTGTCCCACACGGGAACTGTTCCTGGGATTGTTGTCATGACAACTCGCTTCAACATAAAACAATTAATGGACAGCTAAGTAACTACAAGGGCAATGGCGACGAAAACAGCATTAAAAATGAATTTGCTTTTTATCAAACTTATCGCTTTTACTCAAGCTCTAAAAAATTTCTAAATGCAGGAAAATTTTCCTGGAGTTGGCTTCTCCAATGCTGTAACTTTATTAAAAAAGACAAGGAAAATTTGTCATTGTGTGTTCACATTCTCCAAAAACATCACATTGCACTTCCAAGTCGTGCATTGGATCTCAAAGAAATGTACCAAAAAGGATAATACAAGTGCAAAGATGTTTTTTGCTTATACAACCATAATTTTTGATCTTCTCACTGCTGTTGTTTTCATGGCCATTCATTAAGCTCCCTATTATCTTATCTTAACTGGCCGCTTAATCAATGGCTGTAGCATATCTCTTTCACGCACATGTAAAATTACCTTGTGTATATGTTCAGGAGTGGTCTTTGCTACTTCTTCAATGTCCATTCCTCCTTTTGGACTTGCGACTATCACAGGCCCTTGGAATGCTCTGTCCATCAGTATAGCAAGGTATGTCTCCCGGGCAATGTCATAACTCTCTGCAACCATCACCTAATTAGAAACAAGTCATACAATGGACAAAGTAAGGCAAAGAAACCATTTCATCCCTATCCTGGAATACCGTAAAATTCCAAAAATAAGCCCCAGGGCTAATATCTTTCAAAGACCCTTTTTGAGGGGCTTATTTTTGGAGGGGCTTATCTACGGAGGGAAATTTGCATTTCAAAATCGATTGGGCTAGTCTTATAGTTGAAAGTGAATTTACCGTTTTTGCCTTGTATTTGAGGGTAATTTTCCAAGTACAAGCCCCTGGGGCTTATATTTGGAGGGGCGATTTAATGGAGGGTTTTTTGCATTACCAGTTTGGGGGGCTTATACAAGGAGGGGCTTATTTTTGGAATTTTACAGTAATTTTTAACAATTACATGTATTGAATGAGGCTAAGTATGATGTGAAGCATTATGGAAATCAAGGAGAGTGTTATCCAAGCTGATTAGCCTGGTTAATTGGCCTGGGTGGATAACACCTCATCCCAAGGGCTTCTTGGTTGCCATCCATTTTTCTGGCATTAATGCTGCACCATTGCCATCATTTTCCACAATTATTATCACAACTGTCTTCCAAATTTAGTCAACGCTAGCTGGTTATGAAGTTTATTATTTTAGCCACAGGATTTCAGCCAATAACAAATGGAGAAATGTTCTGAATGAATAACGATATAGTTATCATTGAATTCAGCTTTTGTATGATGCGAAGAATCAAGCAGATCAAGGAAAATGTTATCAGCTGAGGTAGATAGCAGCCTCTGAGATCTGCAAAATTCTTCACATCACAGAAATGCCAAATTCAATTTCTTGTTTCTTTTTTGATCCAATATATTCGTATATCCTTAACAAGCTTACCTCCTCTTACACTTGACTGACTTGACTGCTTGAAACAACGAAGAAAAACAAATATTTAATTTAATTCATTCACCTTGTTCACCAGGACTCCATCTTCAGGTGTTTGTTTTGTGATTAAATTATAGCCTACCATCTGTTCTGTTAGTTCACCAACTTTGTTTGGACTAAAAAAAAACAGTTGAAAATAAACATAACATTACATGTACATTAACTATCAGTTCTTAAGAATTTACTACGGTTAAGATGATTACTATAAAAAATGTATAAACATTTAAGGTGCATGAAATGAGGATCTTTAATCACTTCAAATCCAGTGTCAATTCCACTCTTTGTTTCACCAGCATATTCAAGCCCCAACATCCAAAGACAATTTCTCCCAACTGATTTCCATGTAATTTTATTTCGTTAAAGAACTAATCAGGAGAATTGGACAAATGATCAAAGCATTTCCTCTTTGCCAATCATTTACTGTATTAACTTTTGTAACCAGGCTTTTCCCTTGATAAGGTTTTAATATTGTTGGGAGAAAATTGATGTCACTTGCTTCTTTTTAATAGAAATTAATCTACATGCATCTTGCACAGTGCCTGTGTGACTGACTTTTGCAGTAACTGTTATTACTTACTCTGTTGTCAAATGAACACCACCCTGCAGACCGCTTGTAAACTTTCCTTTTCCTCTTCCACCAGCCAGGATTTGTGCCTTAAGAACAAACTCTTTTGCATCTAATGAGAATAAAAATAAACAATGTCACACAGCTCAAAACAAATTTGTCTTCTAGCCTGTCCTTCTGGATGGGCAGCTTATTCACTTTCACGAGTTACATTGTTATTGTTGCAAAAAACACAAAATTACATATATATATAAAAAAAACTTTTCACTCACTTAATTCCTTGGCAATTTCTACAGCTTCTTTTGCATTTTCTGCAACTTTGAATCTCTGCACATGGAGACCATTATCGGCCATTAATTTCTTGCTCTGGAATTCTTGAAGGTTCAACCACCTCACAGGCACAACACTTGAAGCTCCAACCTGCACAAAAAATTAATAATACGCAGAAAGCCTAGTGTACATAGATACATCTTTCCAGGATCATTTATTGAGGTTTCTAGGTAACTGACCACCTACCCCTCCTTTAAGTCACAATTTTGCCCTAAGAGAGAAGTAAGCATTAATGTTAGCTTAGGGGAGGGGTAGGTGGGCAGTTTCCCAGAAACCTTACTTGATCTTACTTCCCTAGCCAGAGAGGTAATAAAGTTTCCACTTGAGAGAAGGGCTTTACTGGACAAAATTTAGATGCCTTGCTTCATGACATGGTTATAGACAAATAATGATTTTTTTTTCCCCTGTAGTCACAGACATAAACAGCACATCAAAAGGAACAGTCATGTACTATAATCACTGCAAATGCAATTTTCTTGAGTTCAAACAAATCTCAACATGTACAGTGTTGAGAAAGTGTTTGAAAAAAAAAATCAAAGGAACATGGCGAACTCAATAAATTGCCCTCGCTCCCAATGTGTGGCTTCATAGCTCAGTTGGTAGAGCAACGCACCGGCAACGCAGAGGTCACGGTTCGAATCCCGTTGAAGCCCTGAATTTTTTTTTTTTTTTTTTAACGCAGAGGTCACGGTTCGAATCCCGTTGAAGCCCTGAATTTTTTTTTTTTTTTTCAAGCTTCTTCTTTCCAATTGCTTAAATTGAAAAATTTACTGCAATGATCATTCTTCACTTTCATGTACAGCTGTATAATTAGCATACCCTAATTATTCAGCATTATTATGCCATGTTCACAGACTACATCTAATTACCATAAATGCTCGAATTAGCGCCCTGGGCGCTTATTCAATTTTCTAAGGCGAGAGGGGGGTGCTAATTTGAAGGGGGGCGCTAGTTTCGTTTATCAATTTTTAGCCTCAAAATGACCCTATCTTTACCGAAAATGGGCTCATAATTCCAGGAACTTTTAAGGCAGTAATAAGGAGCCGATGATTGGGAGCAAAGTTTTACGAGGAACTTAATAAAGTGAAGCAGTTATGTGCTCACATGGATATTTCTATCAAGGAAATGAGAAGCAAACCCGTGCGACTTTGAAAGGACATTACAGTTTATACTATTTAACAATATCACATTTCATTAAAAGAACCGTATAGACCGTATACGTGTCGTATATCATACTGAGTACTGAAACTCATTTTTTCTCGGGGGAGGGGTGGGGGCACTTATTTGAAGGGGGGCGCTTATTACAAATTTTGAGCCTTAGGAGGGGCGCTTATTTGGAGCTGGGCGCTAATTCAAGCATTTACGGTATATAAAAAATGGCTTGTTGGACTTCAAAGAATGACAAATCATGTGACATTTGACAGCAAATTTCTAATCAGCTGATCTTTTTCATCACATTATCATGTGTAGTTGATGAAAATCCTCAAAAATGGCAAGCCAGTGAAGAGCAGCTGTTTTTGTTCGAAAGTGTTTGAAAAAAAAAAATCAAAGGAACATGATGAACCGCGCCCTCCACCCCCTTCACGCCCCCTTTTTCTTGATTGAGGGTTAGGCATCCCCAGCTCCTCAAAAAGAAGACGTCGAAATTTCAATCAAAAACGTCACCCTGCAACTTAAGGAGTACATTTTACCTTCGAAGTGGCAGGATATATTGCATTTTAGCTGCAAATCGACAAATTGGAAGTAACTGCCTCTTGTTTACGCAAAATTTTTTTACCGCTTGTCAACAAGATCCTAGTTTGCCACGCACGCACACAATTTCTGCACTTTCCATTCAAGAATTCCAACTTTTGGATATTTCCACGCTGCCTCGCCATTTAAGTTTGGTAAATACAGCCATAAAATAAATATCCAAGTATAAAATATACCTGCGGAGATCGAAGCCAAGATCTTCTGGCTATGCCCGCGCATTTTCTGCAAAAAGATGTCATGTTACAAGACCGAGAGAAGGCGGCCATCTTGAATTCGGAGAACCTTTAAGAACATGCGCTCATAAGAAAGTGCTAGTGCAAAATTACTGTGGGCGCGTGAAATTCTTAACACGACGTTGAAAAGGGAAACGTGAATAAAAACAGCGCGTGAGTGTTCTAAGAACCAATCAACACGAGAAAAAGATCAAAGGCAGTGATTTCTAGGAGAGATCTGTACATAAATTTGAGAGATTTTTACCAGCTGCTTGAAGAAGTTTGATCAAGTTCAGGTGGTTGGATACCTTGCGTTGGATTAGCCAGTCCAGCATTTCGTCACACTGCAAACAATTGAATATCTGTGTCATTCAAGTGTTTATGATACTGCAATGTTATAACCAAGCATGTACGATGGAATGGACAAGCCGTTATTTGGCGAGGCAAGGCCCAGGGTATGTGCAATTTCGCAATGTTTTGGAGTCGTAAATGCGCGGAAGTGTTTAACAGAGAGGTCACGAGCTTTTGCCATACTACGTAATTGCGTGCAATAAAACTCCGGTAAAATAACGAAAAGTTACCGTTTATTGTGACGGGAGTACATACTTTATATCGACGTCCAATAACTGGGCCAAAAAAAATACCAGAGTGTTTGTTGTGCCAAAGGGGCTAATTACATGTAAGCTTATGAATCGATATTCCGCTAAATAGTATATCCTTTCATAGTAATAATTTCTTTGTTTACTGGAAGTTAGTGATTTGAGCAAAACTTGAGTGCACCTTTATTTTTTCATGTAAAGTAGGGAAATTCTGACGAAAAAATATTTGAAAATCTAAAAATTTATTTTTTTATACTGGTAGTTTATATTATTTGATACAAGAATATGTTGTCAATTGCCACTACTTCAGTGTTACTAAATAAGTGGCATACATGTGAGTTGACCTCAGATTTATGAAGAATTCTTTTTTTTTTTTTTACCAGAGCAATAACATCAATTTCGTACTGTGAATGTTAGATGCAATTGTAAAATTATGCTATTAAACTTTTTTTTCTTCGCTTTTCCTGAAAGGTTGCTTGTAATGCAGGCTATACTTCAACACATCCTGCTCATTAACATTGTTTTCTGTTGTTTGTTAAATTTTACTTTTTATTGACTTATTGTTCCTCTGTGTTGGCAGGATCGATACTTGAATTATTTCATTGGAGGTGCTACCGTCATTTTAGTTTCTGTAAGTACTATCCTAGGCCAGAAAAGCAAAACACTCATGTATTGTATCCTCATTTTTCAAAAGATACAAGTAACATACACTGTATCAGTACATGAACCATTAAAATGTAAATGTATTACACTAGTTTACATGTTAAGTCAGCAATAATTTTGTTTTGCGATAGACCATTTTACAGTTGTAGACGGCCGTTAACAAAACCCGGATCGGATTGCTCGGATCGGATCGGATTGTGGATCGGATCGGATCGGACTGACAATTCGCCTTAAATTCCCGCCAAAATGGTCACGTGACATCCCCCGGAATGAAGATGGCGGAGAGAAGAGTATGTATACAATCTTCTGTAACTAATTTAGTGTTTCTTCTCTTTTTTTTTATTGTAAAGTGATCTCGTTATTTTCTGAGCCTACTTGAACGGAGGTGACATTTAAGATGTCATTCGCTTATTGACAACAAGTCGTCGCTATCGTACCTTGCTTATTACCGCGATTTTCTTAATCGTCTCCTCTGAAAAGAAGCATTCAATCCAAGCTCAGTGAGAAAGAAGACCAATTCAGAAGAGAGTGGAGATGAAAAGAAAAACAAAATCATTGCAATGAGAGATACGTACATCTCTGTCCGCCATCTTCGATTCGGGAGACGTCACGTGACCAAGCCTCTTTTTGGAATTGTAATCGTATGAAGTTATGCAACAGAAAATTTCCCAGTGCAGTTCAGTTGAAAATAATTCTTTGCGATGATTTTAAAGCTGATGGTGAATTTTAAGCCTGGTGATACATGAGAAACTATTTTTTTGGTATTAGTGACACAGGCGGCTCGGAAGAAAAAATCCGAGTCGAACCGGTTAGACTCACGTTGTGAGAACTCGGCTTTCTTATTCCGAGCCACCTGTGTCATTGTTAAAGCAGCTTTTGTCAAAATAATTCTTCTGCACCAAAAGCGAAGACACTAGTCCGATCCGTAATCCGATCCGATCCGATCCGATCCGGAGTCCGATCCGATCCGATCCGATCCAAGCAATCCGATCCTGGTTTTGTTAACGGCCGTTGTGGACTTCGTACCCTAGCCTTTGAGTGAATGTGAGGCTGACAGTGATGTTGTTTTGATACAAACCTCCTTTGCTTTGTTATAGAAATTGTCCTTGAAAAAATACTGGTTAGCATACGAATACCTTGATTAACATAATAAAGCAGGAAGGTTTGTATCAAAACAAGGTCACCGTCAGCCTCCCTTCTATCCATAACTGTAAAATGGCCTATTCTTGAGTCTCATAATGCAAGCCACTCAAATCTTGAGTCACATCCAGATATACCGCTTTATTAAAGAGCCAGCTGCTAGCTAATTTTACTGATTGAAAGAGAGTTTATCACTGGCTTAAATTATTCTGGAAAACAAAACCACGGAGTAATTGACTAACTAAATATCACGTGTAAAGCCTTGTTGGTTCCTTAGTTTTTCAGTCCTAAACATGATAATATTTTATCCTTCCTTTCCAGGAGACACTTATTAGTTCATTGATTTTCCCGGACTTTCCTCCTGCTGCCATAAATGTATTTCTTGCCTTTATTATTGCATTAATCTGTGTATCAGAACTTACACTGGTGAGTAGAATCAATAAGGAAAATTTGAAAGCAATTGATATTTACTTACATGTAGCAGATACTTTTCCCAGTAATCTGATTGGTCAACTTTGTCTAAGTAGCCCCGGGTTACAGTAGTCGCACCGTATAAACTGCCAGAAAACTGCTACATTACCAGGTCAAACTTCTCAAGATTACTCAAGACAGATCCTTGCTATAATGAAGTTGCCACCTTCCACAAGTTTGTGCTTGTGAGTGCTCATGGTGATTGATACTTAGATCATATACCAAGACCTAGATTGTATACCAAGGCCTACAGAGATAGAGCATGCGCTGTTCATGCACCAAGAGAATGGAACTTAATACCCTATGAAATTCGGAATTCCAACACCATCTCGAGTTTTAAAAGATCACTTAAGACATACTTGTTTACTAAATTCTGTAATAACAGATCATTGTTTCTATAGATTTGTATATATTGTGTTAGTTTTAATTTTTCCCTTTTTTAATCATTATGAATAAAATAGTTTAATAGTTTTTTTAGTTTTTGTTTTTTCCTTTTTTTTACTCATTATAAATATAATTAGGATATGGCTGTAAAGTTGTAAATATTTATCAATAATGTTTTTTACATGACTGTAAAGCTCCTTGAACATAGGATAAGAGCGCTATAGAAATAAAGTTATTTATTTATTTATTTATTTATTTTATTTATACCTATAGCAGAAAAGTCATATGCAGCATTTTGCCCTCCTTGCTAATCCAAATTCATTTTCTTGACAAGTGGTCTCTTTTCTTTTCTTTCCAGATATATTGGTACAGACAAGGTGATGTTGATCCCAAGTTTAGAAAGATGATTTACTTCAACTCATTCACAACTGTTTTGCTTTGCATATGTGCAAATGTTTACTTTCACAAAAAATGGACTAATTGTCCTGACAATAGCTGACTTTTTAAATTCGAGAACAGTATTTTAATAATTATAATAATAATTATTAATGATTAATTAATATTTGTATCATATCCAAGGCTGTACTCTAGCAGCACCTGATGGCCCCTGGCGCCTTAATTTTGCTCCTGGGCAACTAGAAAATCATAGCACATGTATTTTTATGGAAATCATAGGTTATAGGCACCCGGGATTTTAAAGGTCCTGAGCACAGGGATCCCTGCAATATCCCTTAGAACACAGCCTTGTTATCTCTTTAACAGCCTGAGGCTCTTCTGAAAATGGAGTTTTCAATTATAGTTGGTTAAGGGGTAGATGAACAAATATATTCACTCTTGGTGCAGACAGATCCAAAAAGCGTTCAAATTCAGCATCCAAAACATAGGCTAAAATCCAGTGTGGAATGAGTAAATTGAAAGGATTTTTTGTAAAACTGCTTTGATAATAAATCATGTTAAACGGCATATAATGTATAAATGCATTCATATTATACATGTAGTAGACATTTTGCTTTTAAATGCGCAGTACTTACTTACATGTATGTATAAGGAATGAGTTTTGTTCTCTTCCTTGACCCTGGTAGAATAGATGCACATGCTTGAATGCTGTGACATAATTTTACCAGTGAGTATGAAGTATCTTTTTAAGCCATGAAAAAATAAGAAATTCCATACAACGTGGTTCCCTGTTCTTGGCACTAAATTAAAGTGGGTAGCGACGCTAAGTAAGAAAAGAACGAAGCAGACAAGATGGCAATCCAGGAGAGACAAGAGAACAATAATAATGATTAATAATTAATTAATATTTGTATCCTATCCAAGGCTGTGCTCTTGCAGCACCCAATGGATTGTGTCTGCCATACCCCTTAACCTCATTCTCAGGGTTAGGGACAAGATTTGTGAATGTCCCAAATGACTGCCTCTAGGTCTCTGAGAGTGCCTCAGGTTTTAGCTTGATGGGAAATGATGTGCAAATATAACGACTGAACAGGTCTTCTTGTCGAGCGCAGAAATATCATGAAATTGTTTTAGGCAACATGGACACCTGTTTTTAAATTCTTTCCAAAAAACAGAAACATGATTAGAAGAATCCTCCATTCTCATTACTTTTTTGTCCCGTTTTTTCCTTCTTCCTCTTCTTCTTCTTTCTCCTTTTTTTCTTTTTGTTCGTTCTGCTCTCAATTTTGCGCCGCTTTCCACTACCTGCAGAAAGTCTATAGCTGGTAGCTGGCTTCTTTCGGACAAAGAGGCTTTTTGCTGCCATTCACATCAACATGATTTGTACATTAATTTTTTCAAAGAATACCAAAAAACTGGTCCGTTTCCATGTTTTTTCTATATAATTGACAGAGCCAATTTTAAAAAAATGTATTTCCAAATGACACTTGCTTTCATAATAAAATAGATGGAAAAAACGTTTCTATGCAATTATCTTAGCAACTCTATGTATCACACTTTATCAACAGTAGAAATAAAGTACGTTTCTTAATTTTTCGTCTGTTTCTCTCGTTCTATCACTGTCACTGTCAGGATTAGTGCTCATTTCAAACTTATTAACATCTGTTGACAGTTTCGGGCCTAGACCTGATAAACGGGTTGTGGTGGCCTTGAATTTATGCTGGTGGAGGGCGAGCAATGAACCCACGAGTCACGAGGCTTCATTCACTCGTCTTGCGTGGCTCTGAGGAAAGAACAATGACCGTTTGCGAGTCGACATCAAAGTACAGTAAATTCTGAACATTTTTACGTCTCGCCCATGCCTAATCCTTAGAACAGTCCCTAGCCTATACGGCGTCTTAACGTATGCACAATAATGAGGCCCAGGGACTTGGAAAGTATGTAATGTAGAACCAAGACACCCTTGGATTTAGGATTCCACGCTATGGATTCCAGGTACTGGATTCCGGATTCGTGAGCCGAATTGTGAATTCCAAAGTCCAAGATTCTTGATTCCAAAATTCTCCAATTAATTAAAGTTGTTGCATTTTTTTTAGACATTGAGAATTACCAAAGCAACGATATCACCCGTTATTAAACGTCAAAATTTTCTTTTCTGCAAAAATAAAATGATTTTGTTACTTAAATTTACCTGTATCACTAACTCAGGCCAAAAAAATTGTTTGCATGATCAATAAATGACCGTTTTCTGCTAAAAAAACTATCCAAAATTTGAAATTATACTAGGATTGCTGTTTTTTTGTTTTTTTTTTAGTTTTTTTTTTTTTCGGAAAATTTACGAAAATTATGCTCATAATTGACAAATTATTCCAAAAATTACGCTAGCACAATCAATATGAAGGGCCTGCCTAAATCTGGCCGTATACCATCACAGGTAGCCTTACATGGAATAAAAAAAAAAATTAAAAAAAATAAAATTCCTCAAAACTGTGCAAATTATTTAGCTTGCTCACCCAAATTTTAATCATCTTGAATTGCGCTTGGGTGACCTGTGAAACGCAGAGGGGACTGTCAAATGCCAGGCCACCAAGGACCAAAGGCCAGGTTGCTAAACCTCCGTTAAGGCAGACGAAAGAACGAGATAAATCCTTCTGATTTAAAGTTAAAATGCCGGTCGAAAATCTCGAAGATGAAGGTTTGCCTAAAAATCCTAACCTTGAGTTAGCAGCTTGGCGTTTCACCCTTAACAATCCAGAAGGAAAAGATAAGGAGGATGCAAAGAAACGGCTTATGGACGCCATCAAAGAGAACGGTATGTTTTGTGCTTTGTCATCTCGATCACTTGATCACATGTTGAATGAACACTTCGATGTCATGCATAAATTATGTGGGAAACAAAATTTGTTGCTGTTTATGTGTCAGGCGTCTAGGCAATCAAGGAAGTTACCAAAAAAAGAAATATTTTTATTAATTGATTAATTGACTCTAGGTCTATTCAATGCAAGTATTACCAGTGTCACTTTTTTTCTTATTATGTCAGAAAGCTTGCAAAATACCCCACTTCTATGAGATCTGAGTTATTTCAGGAAATGATAATGGTAGCTCTGACGCTTGTGCACTCACTGAAGCACTAGATCGAGGATGTGTTATCTACATGTACGCTGAAAAACAGCTGAACTGCCATGCATTATCTTGCTGACATCACTCGACTCCAATAACTTTTCATTTAGGGTCGCTCCGCCTAGCAGACAATTAATTTAGAGCTGTCTTTGAAACATCTAAGCCAACTATTATGTGGTGGCAATTTTTATTTTGAAAATAATCCGCGCTGGAAACTCTTAACAGGCCATCGCATCTGTAATAACTTAATGAAAAAAAGAATGATGGCTTTACAACAAATGATTGACAAAAAAATACATTTTTTGTTTATTTAGTCGATTTTGTCCAGTTTTAACCATGGAAAATTTTTGTCCTTGGCAGATTTTCCTGTCTGGGACAAAATTTGTAAAATCATGACAAACCATCTGCATTTAATGTTTAGTGGGTTATAAAAGTAATGATGTCACTCATCCAATAATTTTCTATCATTAGAGAATTGATGTAAAACTTTGTAGTTTGGTCAGTGCATTAGGGCATGACAGGCCATCTGATAGAGTGTGATAAAAAATCAGAAATTGTGCGATATTTTTAGGGTAGATTGTGCCATAAGATAGGACTATTGTGCGTTAAATTATACGATTTTTCTCAGGGCTAATTTACATTGTTTTACCAGGTTTCAAAGGAGAAAAACTACTTTAATGTTGTTTAACAGGCAATTTGAATGTAAAGGAATAATAAAACATCTATTTTAAAACAAAATAGTTAAATTTCTCTGATTATTTTGACCCGGAAAAGAAAAAGGACACTTGCTCAACATTACATGATGCCATTACACCCCTGACCCACACTGCTTGTCATTGAAATCAAAACGGCTGCCCAGATGGAGACTGGCATGAATTACTTGCCATAACCCGATCGAAGGTTTCAGATGCCTTGCAAGGTTTTCTTTTGTGGTAATCACCCTAAATAACATTAAGATTGGGAAAATGTTTAATTAAAGTTAGAATTCATTGTTTACTTTACTTGAATTTAGCATTTTTTTTACGAATTATGCCATTTTCGGATGCAATTTGAGGTCAATTGTGCGAAATCGCACCATCGCGTAATATCAGATGGCCTGGCATGATGAAAAATAAGCTGAGGGATTTAGGCCAATTAGTAATGGACTGTTATTATGAATAATTAAGGAAAAAAAGTTCTGTACAGCTGTAGATCTTCAGATGTCAAATTACAACACAGATGTAGGTCTCCTTTTCTTATAGTCCTTGCCATCATCATTTTACAGAGAGGTTTCAGATTCCATCACTGAGTCTTAATAATAATAATTACTTTATTTAAGTCTCAAGCTTCTAGCTTAGCACAAGTGCTGAAAGTAATCGGGGAGACAAAAAATGGTGGTGGAGTTCACTGTTTGTGACATGTACATGTACATGTATGTAATCTGTGAATCACATGACAAAATGTCCCTGTACATTGCAGTAGGGAGGTCACAACTGGTGTCCCTGTTCAATGTCAGAGCACAACAATAAATTTTGATGGCTTCCACCTTCTTTCCTGGAATTTAAAGCCGCTATGTTAAATACAAACTAACTCTTCCTTGGCTAGTATCAATAACTTGATTTTTGTGCATATCCTTAATGTAGACATGGCACCCCTCTATGAAGAGCTTTGCACTGAACTTAAATGGCCTGTTGATAAACCTCTTCTGGCAAAGATGCAGGCAAACAATGAAGAGAAGTTCAAGAAGCTTGACGAAACCCTCAAAGATGCTGAGGAAAATTTAGGAGAGACAGAAATCAGAGATGCGTTGTATGCTAAGGCAGAATATCTCTGCCAGATTGGGCATAAGGTTTGTACCAATAATGGCTTTGATTTTGTTTCTGTTAGTAAAATAAAAACCCCTTATGATTACTACGTGTCATCATTGATGAGATGAGTTAATGCCTCAAGGGTTTTATTGCTCTGTTGTGATGATTATTTTTATATATTTTAAAAATCTTTTTTTTTCCATTTCCAGGAAAAAGCTCTGACTGTGTTCCGCCTCGCATATGAGAAAGCAGTAGCCCTCGGTTACAAGCTGGATATTATATTTTATCAAATTCGTATCGGCTTGTTTTACCTTGACAATGACCTTATCACACGGAACATAGATAAAGCCATGACGTAAGTGCAGACTGTCATATGGTTTCTGACTTAACTAAGTGATATCATCTTTACTCAGAGACTGCTAGTATCAAGTGTATGGACAATTTTATCTTAAATCCCTCTGTAATAACATTTTTTTTACATAACCGTAGTACATATAAATGATTATAAGATTGTAGTATATGCTATTTTATTTGCACATTATAAGTTACAAGATGATAACATCACTGTATTTGTCACTTTTAACTAATACTATTAACTTGTACCGGTATCTTAGATTAGCTAAAATATTTGTTAAAAAATATGATTGAAAAATAGTGATAATTATTTAGGTATACTCTATACTGTAACTTGTTTTTTATCAGCCTTATAGAGGAAGGAGGTGACTGGGATCGCCGTAACAGACTCAAAGTGTACCAGGGAATCTACTTTTTATCCATCCGCGACTTCAAATCTGCTGCTAATAACTTCCTAGACAGTATATCTACTTTCACATCATATGAGCTGATGGATTACAAGACGTTTGTTACGTATACTGTACTTGCAAGTATGATTGCACTAGAGAGGGTTGACCTAAGACAAAAGGTTGGTTACCAGTCAGCATCTCAATATATTTACTTCTCAATTCTGAAGTTATGAAATTTAGTCTTTATTTCCAGTATTATCATAATACAGTGTCCTATAAGCAACCAAAGATTTCCAAGTCAAAATCTTACAGTTGGAACCTCTCGTACAACTGTAAAATTAATGATCAATTCCTGTACACAACTGTGACCCCATTTTTGGCTGACAGTGTAAATAATTTTCCATTTAATTTCTTTTAAACCCCTTTAAGCAACCACTTGACACAGGATCTGATCTCTCTGTTCAATGTGTGCCCTACAACTGTAGCTAGGCTACTTTTACTTCTAAGAGTAAAAGAAGAATTATTACCAGTAACATGGAACTTAACATATTGCAACTTACGTTGCTGTACAAATAGCAGATAAAAATATAATAATTTATAATGTTGTTTCTCATCTGTACCAATTTTTGACAAAAATGTGTATTTTAATAGTTTAATTAAGTTAGTTGTTGACTTGTGGTATTAAAACCACTTTCTAGTTTGCAAATGACAAAGGTATTTTCATGTTTAGGTTGTGAATGGTGCTGAAATCCTAGAAGTTCTCCATCAGTTGCCAGTTGTAAACCAATTCCTGACATCCCTATACAACTGCCACTATGCTGATTTCTTTGTAGCCTTGGGTAGGAAAGCTCTACTTTTTTTATTCCCTCTATAAAAATTAAATTAAACCCATTGGGAAGGTGCCTTGTAAACCTGAAGGGAGCCACAAGTGAGTCAGGACAGTAACCATGACAAACATTTGAGCGGCACCCACCAGGCACCCTCACACTGAGAACCTCAGTGAAGAAAAATGTGCAGATACTTACCAAAAAACATCCAAAGAGAAGGAAGGACTGGGAGTAAAAGAGGCTAAAGCTACCTGTACTGCTCGTGAAAGCAACGTGAGCGAGGTGATTGACCCCAGAGAAAGCGCTGTAAAGTTGCTAAAGCCTAAGACCACCCTACTTATCGTATGAATGGTGATGAAGACCACCAGCAAACATTGCTTGGTGTTTAATCTCACCTAAATTGTATTCAGCCTAATAGTATTTTGCTGGTGTCACAATAGCTTGCATACTTACAGGCAAATCTTATGGTGTACAGATAAAGATCAATAATGATGATGATGTATTTTCTCTCTCCACAGCACAAGTAGAAGATTTTCTCAAACAAGATCGCTTGCTCTATCCACACTGTAGATACTATATCAGGGAGATGAGAATACACGCTTACACCCAGCTGTTGGAGTCATACCGCAGTCTCACATTGCAGTACATGGCTAATGCATTTGGAGTTAGTGAGGAGTTCATTGATAAGTAAGCAAAGCACCATTTATTTAAAACAGATTTAAGCTGAATGCAATTGCTGAATTACTTGTTACCAGCTCACTTCTAACCTTGCTTAAAGCTTATTTACACAGGAAATTTTTGCAGCAATTTTTGTGTTTACAATTTTTGTACAGTGTATGTGGCAATTTTTTTCACTTGGAAATTGCCATTGCTTTGAACCTGCTGGAAATTTGATATGATATATAAGCAGTTTTTTGAGATTCACTGCAAATAATTATGTCTTGACATTTTTCCCCAACCCCTCCCCCCTTCCTGAGTAGCTTATCACACAATGAGAATAAATAATTTCAAGAGGAAATCCTTTGTAAATTTATGTACAGTTCTTACTGAATGCATGCACATCACTAATTGGAGTACATGTCGTACTGTAACAATGTTCAGTGCTCGACTTTCAGAAAAAAAATCTTGGGGCCAGCTGGCCCCCACGTTTTCATTTTTGGTCGCCAGAACAAGTATTCTGGTCGCCAAAAATTATATTTAAGAACTAATGGACCTTCTATCACTAGTAATTTAATCAAACGTGTTTTGACCATCTACATGTATCGCATGAAACTTATGCAAAGCACAGCCTTTCAACAGAAGCATGTTGACCTTTAAATATTGTCGTTGCCTGCACTCTGCAACCTTCAGTTGTTACTAGTTGTTATGTGTATGAAAGTGCTTTTTTTTTAAAATTATTTATTTTATGTTATTTTATTTTATTTCCAGAGAACTTTCAAGATTTATTGCAGCTGGAAGATTGAACTGCAAAATTGACAAAGTTGGAGGTGTTGTTGAAACTAACAGGTAAGTTTGTTTACATGTACAATAATGTACTTCTAATATACTTAGTACTGTCACCACTCTTACATGCTCCCAGCACTATTTTAGAGTTTCCTTGTAGGAGGATGGTACAGGTCTGTCATTTAAAGAATTTATTGTGTCTTGGGACAAATTTTTACACAAACTATTGTTATTTTCTTGTTCGTACATGAGATATGCAACTGAAACGTGTATGTGTAGAAAACTGTAGAAAACTCCTATATTGTTGGCAGGTTAATGTAATGTTATTCTGATTCACTCCATCATCCATTCATTCATTTATTTTATTTATCTACTTATTTACTTAAGTATTAACATGGTGACTTTGCTTCTTCTCAGGCCTGATCACAAGAACTGGCAATACCAGGTATGACCATTCTTTTTTACCTTTTGAACTTACGGTATATATCAAAGTATAAATTCTCATTTGCTGTTAACTATACTTTTTTGTAGAACTATATACTATGGTGCATCAATTATGATTTACCTTAAGTGATCATGTTCTGAACTCTCATGCTCACTCTGTTGAATACGACAAAAATATATCAAGGAGAAATTATATGCTGATCACAAAAAGAGTATTGAACAGTCAATTAAGTATTTTATCGCCCTCTGTCGTCATTTTAAAACTGTCTTTTTGCTTTATTTTGTTTGTTTGTTTTTTGCTGTAGGCTACTATAAAACAGGGTGATCTGCTATTGAATAGAATCCAGAAGCTCAGCCGAGTGATAAACATGTAGCCGAGACGAACTGCTTTTTCAACCTTCTCTTGTCTGCGAGATGAAAGAATGGCTACTACCGTTCCAAGTTATTTATGCTTTTGTAAACAGTGCATATCTCAAATGTAGACATTTGAGATATATATTCAAAAAATAAAACCTTTTTTTATGGGATGGTGTTTAGTTTGAGGTTAATTTAATTTTTTTTCTTTTTTGTCGATGGGCGAGAAGAGTCATAGGGAAGCGACATGCCAATCTCCCCTATATATAATCTCCCGCTCTTCGAACCCTCCAAGGGATCATCTGGTGCTTCCAAACGCGGCATTTAAACTTGATGATATCTGCACTCTCGTGCCGGGATCTCCCGGGATTTGTTAACCACTATAGCCCAGGAACAAAGGCTTTATCTCCGTTGAAATTTGTTTAGACTAACTTATTTAAAACGGAAGTAAAAATGCTTAAAGTGGAAAACATCACCGGCTATTTGGTGTGGTTTAGAAGGCCGGAAAACGCTGACGACTAAATAACCCCCACATTAAGAGAGCTTTCAAGAAAATTGTTTAATTTGGCGATAAGAATTACAATAAAAATTCAAAACACTACATATTATGTATCCATATCAAATTAAGTTAAGTTTAGCACCTCTAGGAATAAATGATTGTTTGTGTCTAACAGTGCGTGATACAGGTAATCTGAGGTGCGCTGGGTTAGTCTTACAAGATCTTAGATTATGGCCATGATCCACTGGCTTGTCTAAAAAACGTTTGCAAGGATGTGCTTCAGATTCTAGGATACGTTGAAATTCTTTCCTCGTCAAATTCTGACGCCTAGTTACAAGTGACAATTAATGTGTTTGAAAACAAAGGAAAATAACACTTAGACCGAAAATAGAATTGAACCGCGACATAATCGTGCCAACTGTAAGATAAATATTATGGATAATAATTTTTAAAAGCTCTAGAGTGTCACGCATTTGAAGTTCAAACTGATTTTCGCGAAAAGTTAGTTGGATAGTTTCCCCTCCCCACCCATCTAAGGTTGTAAACGATTTTCCCGCCAAATGCTCCGTATCCGAGCGTAGCAGCAGGTTGGCGACACGTTTCTCGGTGATCAAACAAATTGATCGAAATTTACATTTTGCATTTCAATAACATGCTTTGTTTTTGTTGAGCACAATATTTTTTTATACGCTTCATCGAGCGCAGATCGCCATGTTTTGCTGTTGCTTCTAAGTTAAACGCGTTCTTTGGTTGTGTATTTATTGCGAATACACTCAAGCATTAGTATGCAAATCGTTTCAGAAGAAGGATCGTTCAAGAACGCAGATGGAAAGAAAATTTTTACCAAATATTGGAAACCAAGCGACAAGAAACCCAGGTGAGCATTATCAGCAGTTTATTTCTTGAAGTTCAAATCACGCTCTTCAAAATTGACTGCTAACACAGTTGAATTAGCGCTGCTTTGCTGCAGTCAAAAGTGCATCGACCTGGCTAAATGATTAATCAAGTTATTTTTATTATAAGCATTATAATAGAAAGGTTTATGCTAATGCAGAGTCAGAGCGAGGGAATGAAATCAAACGAGCAAAGTAAAGTCAACTTGAAAAAAGTCATTTAAACGAGTGAAATTAAATTCCAAGCACACACGAGATGTCCAATGTTGTCTCGCGTTAACTCGCACAAACTCGCAACTGATAGGCAAGCTCAATTTTTCCTTATCTCGCCTTAACTCGCATAAGCTCGAACAATCTCGCGGCGAGTTAAGGTTCGAGAGTAAGCCTGTTGACTTTGTGTGGTTTCCATATGATCTGAGGATCGGTACAATCGCTGACAAAAATTCAGCGAACTGAATGATAGTAGCTATCTATTATTACAATGGCGAAATCAGTTAGTCGGTAGGTGGTGAGCAAAAACTGATGACCATCCGAAGAATACAAAAATTGAAGAAAATAAACTAAACCTTCGTATTAAAAGAAAATAATCTTAATACATCTTGCAGTTAATTAATCATTTGCTGTGCTCGGAAGGACTCTAAATGATTTACATGTATAGCAAAAAATTGAAAGTCTCTTGATCATTGATAAAACAAATAACAATAGATTTTCGTGGTTATTTTCTCGATAGAGCATTGGTCTTTATCTGCCATGGATATGGAGAGCATTGTTCACGCTACGAGAGGCTTGGAAATGCTTTAGCTGAACAAGGCTACCTCGCCTTCAGTCAAGATCACGGTATGTCCCACCCCGGCCTTGTTCAATCTGTACCGTGCTGCACTAACTACATCTAATCATACTTTCTCGGGAAGAGTCGGGGGAGGGGGGTGGGGGTGGTAATCTAAAACTAAAAATACGTGTATTGCAGAGCCTTGTGAGCTCGGGGAAGTAGCCGGTAAAATGTTAGGGATGGGAGGAAGGGATAAAGATAGAGTAGAAAACTGGACCATTATTTTTGGAATTCAATTTATGATTTTATGGGCACCTGGCGAATACAAAGAAAGACAGGAAATAGTGTGATATAACCCTTCAAGAGCTAATTTTTTGACAACAAATCTTTCTATTAGTTGGTCATGGTCAGAGTGAAGGAGAAAGAGTCCAAATATCAGATTTTTCCTGTTACGTCAGAGATGTTTTTAAACACATTGACCAAGTCACAGCAGACAACACAGGCATACCAATATTTATGTTTGGCCACTCAATGGTATGTACTGTTATAAAAACGTTATTGGAACTCTGCCCCTTTTTTTCGTTTTTTTTCTTTTTTGTTTGTTTGTTTGTTTGTTTGTTTGTTTTGTTTTTTTTTTTAGGTTCTCGGGTCCCCTAACCGAGTCGATCACAGGAATACAAGTATATGTCAATTACGATAAAGACCCCAAGCCCATCATGCTTTGCGGATGTTTCGTAATGTCGCGTTCTTGCCAGTTTGTTTTGATAACATAGATAGCCTGTGAATTTCAGGTTTTCTTATTATTAACTCTTTTCAAGTATACGAAGAACTTCTAAAAGTACCAACATGGAACTGAGAAATAAATCGGTGCAATATATTTTATACTGCTTTAAAGCAGCGCAGCTGTGCCCGGAAATCTACTCCAAGGAAGCCGTCGTAAGCGACAACTTACTACAAGTCTCAGCCTTTAGAGTGGCTACTTACGGAAGGTTTGACTGTACCTTGAAAAGTTCATGTTATGATATTATTAATATTATGCGTTATTCTTTTTAGGGTGGTACAATAGCTGTTCTCAGTGTTATGGAAAGACCTTACTTCTTTGCGGGTGCTATTTTTAGTGCACCAAGCATAAAAGTGGATGCCAATCCTTGCACGGTAATTTATTACTCCACTTGCTACAAATAATAAACGAAAACACAATGCAACGACTGTTTCTCTTTTCCCAGGGTGCCGTCAATGCAAAAAAAAGGATACAGCAAACCCAAAACAGAAAAACACTACCAGAAAACAGAAATACAAATCCCGAAACAGAAATAAACATCCCAAAGCGGAAACACCTACAAAAAAAATACAAAACTGAAAGGGAATTTAAAAATACAAACCATGACCAAAAACCCCAAAACAGAAACAAGGAAATAACTGGTAAAACAATAGTTTCTCATGATTCATCGTCTATTAATTATCTTAACCCGCGATCAGGCGGGGTTTTTTTATAGGGATGCATGATCACAGGCTATAATAGCCCATTTCCGAGTTCCAAAAACTCTCTCTTTAAAAGCGAAGCTAAAGGTACAGTAAAACGGGCAACAATTGCTGCAGAACGAGTCCGAAAGCGATGCTGGGCGTTTTATTGCCCATAAATCAAACCTGTCTTGCAGCAAATAAGATTCAGAGTTGCAAGTTGCGTAAATACTGACTCCTGATTGGATAAAATTACGCAGGAGTCACGCCATACACAGGAGTTACATCACTTGCTGCAAAACAAGTTTGCCTTGGGTCGGTAATTAAAACGCGCAACATTGACAGATTTTGATGCAAAAAGTAGAACTTCTCTCGAGTTTCTGGAACAACTTTTTCGCAACTTGTATAAACCTGATTTGCTGCAAGGGAGGCTTCATTCGTGGGTAGTAAAATGCGCAACATCACTTTTCAACTAGTTTCCCAACAATTTTGTAAAACAGGTTTCACGTTTTTGTTGTCCGTTTTACCATAGCTTTAATGCAGAGTGAGATAAAACAGTTTTTAGATGTGAAATATTTGCAGGGGCAGCAGTTTTTTTTATAGTCAATTCACATGTTGTTTAAACATACATATCTGATTAATTACTAGTCGAAACGAACTTTTTACAAAGTTCTAGTGGCGGAGGGAAGGGAATATGATGATTATTTTAATAGGAGATTATTTTATCACGAGTCAAGTTTTTAACCTTGTCTTCTTGGGGGAGGTGCGAAATTAATACAGTAGTGATTGGTCCATATACAAAAACGCAAAAAAAACAAACAAAAAGAACTTGGCCAATATTCAGCTATCTGGACCTCACGCTTGGTTAAAAGAGACCTTTAGATTCGAGGATGAGAACTACTAGGAGTACGACTTTCGCTCTTCTCAAAAAGAAAAATAGACACCCGGAAAGCTCCATTGTACTTTTGATTCACCACAAAAGTTAGCACTGTTACTTATTGAAGGAGTTTAAGCCCTCTCCCGACCGAAAATAATAAAACTTAGCTTCTAACATTTGATAACTTGTTTTCGTCACAACGACATTCTCGGCAAAACTCGTAGTAGAATGACGACGGCTATCACGTTTTCCCGCCAAAATGACACTGGTTAATGCGCGCGCACTGCTTAGCATTAAGAAAATCTCGTACTCGTAGTCGTCCTCGTCTTAAAAACTAAAGCTCTCAAATAACGTATATAATACATGTATCTTACAGGTTTGTGTAGGAAGAATAGTATCATGGATAATGCCCTCGTACCAGATCAGGCCACCGATTGATCCATCACTCTTAAGCCAGGATCCTACACAGGTGATGCAAAACTACAGAGAAACTCAGCCGAGTTTACTTTCGCAAAGAGGTCTGGGATTGTTACTAAGGACAGAGAAAAAGATTGGCCAATAGCTGACCGGCGTGACCCCAGTGACAATCCAAGAAACAATCGCGGGTCAAATTTCTTCTCTAATAAAATTCCCTTCTCGTTTCTAAAAAGGCGAATAACACAATTGAAAACTGCTCTCTTTTCGTGAGTCAAAGGAGAGGGACTTTCGTATGCATTTTATCCGCGTTTCCAAAAAAAGTTTCCACGACTTTCGAACAATGCCGAAAATATTCAGGTTTGTCGAGGGTTATTCTGTCCTGTTCAATTGATCAACCCTAAGATTATACCCCCGGTGGGGGAGGGCGGGGAGCTACTCAACAACGTTTTATATGGTAAGGCACCACCCCCTGACCTAACTCCTTACACATTTATCGTTGAAGGAGCTCGTCGTGTTTTTTAGGGTTGGAGCCTCCCCATAAAAAATTCAATGTCACTCAGTTATTTGCACAATCCATTTAGTAACCAAAGGTCTTACAACAAGTCGAATTTCCTTGAGTACCAGGCGTCCCTCGCGCCTTCTACTCTCTCGCGCTTGACTTGTGGCAAGTCTAGGACTTCAATAACACAATGCACCTTGTTTATTACTATTGTTTTAGGTTGAAAAGTATGCCAATGATAGCCTAAACTGGCATGAGGGAATGAAAGTTAGATGGGCGGGAGCTATATTAGATGCAATGAATGAAATCCAGGGGAACTTTTCAAGGCTTACAACATCTTATCTACTTGTCCATGGTGATGGAGATCAATTAGTGAAGATTGACGGTTCACGTTACTTACATGAGAGTTCCCCAAGTAACGACAAGACATTTAAGGTACACGAATGAGCTGCTTTACTGACAGCACTGAGAGAACTAATAGCCTCTCTATGGGTATTTCCGACGAATAGTCAGGGCGCTTGACGGTATATCATGATGGCAGGAAGATGCGGTCTTAAAACGGCGTTTTTTCATGTGGTGATATTGTCCTGCCCGGGGTACGAGTTTCGGCCGCTTTGTTCCAAGCGTAATTATTGTAAACTTATCCCAACAAAAGTCGTGATTTGTCTAAACCCTTTTAACCCCAAGAGTGACCAATATCTATTTTCTCGTAACAATGTCACCACATTTTCAAGGAAAAAGGTTATGAGAATGTATAAAATAATCACCAAAGAGGAAATTCTCGTCCCCAAACGGGTGTCTAAAGAATAATACAGAGTTTTCCCTCTTCGTCCAATTTTCCGTCCCGTTGTCATTTTTAAATCTACCTATTATTATTTCATTATAAACTCAACTGCGTGTAAAACTTGCTTTGCAGGTGTACAAAAATGGACGCCATGAACTTTTGAATGAGGTGGAACAAACTGCGAGCGTGGTTTACAAGGACATTCTTGACTGGATTCAGCAAAAGCTACCTTGAACTGTTTTAGGGCCACGTGCACACGAATCCAGACTAATTTTTGAAACTGCATATTTTTTCACCCGCATTCGTGTAGACGAGGCCTTAAACCACTCTGGAGAGCGGTTTCAAAAAGATATCAGGCTGACTTAGCAATAGAACGGGAACGTCAGTTGACGACGACGCGCGCAAATCAAACAACTGGCTTGGCCAATCACAGAGCAGCAAATTGAGCAATGGAAGTCGCGTTTAGTCCTTTCCGCGCGCTTTCCCGTTGTCAACTGATGTTCCCGCTCTGTTGCTAAATCAGCCTAATGTTTGGGTGAGAGGATTCACCGGTTTCGTGCGTGGACGGAATACCAGACGGAAGGCCGATTCATGTGAAAAATATATCTAAATGCGCTTTTAAAAATATCCGGATTTGTATGGACGAGGCTTTTCACGATAGTGTCAATCCACAAATATGACCAGAATCATTTCGTTTTTTTTTTTTTAATTTCTTTCATATTTAATTCAGTAAATTCAGGAACCTTAATTTGCATGAGAAAGCCAAATTTTGTGGGATTCTAAAAAAGGCCGTTTCCAAGATGACGTCATTTCAACATACCAGATTCCTTCAGGGTTTTGCTTTCTTGCGTAAGTTAGGGCTTTTGTTATTTAAACCTCAGTGGGATTACCAAATTTAATTATAAAAGAAAAAATGAAATGAATTCCTTTAGTAGCAAAACCATGTCATCGCGTAAATAGCCAATTAGGCCCCGTGGCCCCAGTAGCCTTGCAGCAGTTCAGAATAGACCCCTATGTGTCGCAGTTCTTTTGTTTTCGGGCTAGGTTCCAAACTTTGTTTGTTCATACTTTTCCCCGCCAATAACGTGACGTCTTCCAAGAACTGCAAGGTCCCTCCTTATAGGAAGAAAAGTCGCCCCGAGTAGAAGAGTCCCTCGCCTATCCCAGCTACCGTTGGCGAGCCAAAATTTCCTACATTTCCTTACCGAAACTTGGCGTTTAAATACACTAGAAACAAATAGTGGGCTAGAGCGCTTTTTCAATGGTAAGGTCACCTTTCTAGCTAAGCCGGGTCAACTCGGTCAAGGCGAGAGAATCAGACCATGCGGGAGCGCTGTTTTCAGCTCTAGGCTTGGGCAAAGGGGCCAACTGTTTATCATATAAACACTTGCTTAAGTTGACTAGGGCTGGGAGGGTAACCCCGGGGAAATTTTTCTCTATGTGAACGGGGCCTCGTTCGCATGTTTTCTTGATATAGATTCAATAAACAGAACAATAACTCTTCACGTGCATCACACGTTTTTGGTAAATTTATTCGCCGTCACTACGTTATACGGAGGACATAAGCACCCAAGACAAATTTATTTTTCTCTATTTACACTTTGATGTCAGTGCTCCCCAAAAATTCCGTTCCACGGAAAAACCCCCTTAAATTTGACCAAGTTAGCCAATTAAGATAACCCCCACACATTTTAAAAGTACGCCATATAGCTTTATAAATGACGTTTCGCTACCGTCGCCCCCCTAATGTCGAGCGTATTAAATCTCGAGCAACTGACGTTCAGTCAGAGTCAATCTCTGTATTTTGAACGCCATACGTTAGTAGTTATGTCTCAGGTTAGGCTGCCTGCTTTGGACTAGAAAAGGTATCAAGACGATCGAGAAACGTACCCCACGTGGTTTTGAACCCGGTGGGCTAAAATTGACTGGAGACCTCAGAGACGAAACTACCGGTCACCTGGAGCGAGAGGCAACGGGCAGAAGAGATAGCCTGGGAACGAGATTGATTTACAGTTTAATGTTCCTAGATAATAATAACCTGGGATCATGTTCACCCTTAAAAAACGTAAAACGCCTATTAAAAAAAAAAAACGATGAAACATGAAAAACTGTATAGCTTTACACTATTTCCTTGTTTCTGTTTTCGTCTTTTGTGGCTATGGTTTGTATTTTTGGATTCTGTTTCAGTTTTGCGGTTTAATTTTGTATTTTTTTGAGTGTGTTTCCT